AGCTTCAACAGTTTCAATCTTCAAAAGTTTTAAGAGTGAATAGTATGAGAAAGAGAATGAGAAAGTAAAGAATTTTGGGGATAAAATCATAAGAAGCAAGTAGAGTCGTGGAGAAGAAGAATGGAAAAAGTTTTAAAGTTTTAATATTTTTTGGGCTTAATTTATATACAGTAAAACCTCTCTATAGTTATACTCTATATAGGAATAAACTCTACATAGTCATAAAAAATTATATTCCCAATTTGGGATAGTTATAAATAAGAATAAACTTCACGTTGTAATAAGTTATAATTTTTCTAATTCTCGTCTTAAGGAAAGTTGCCTCCATATAGTAATAATTATCTGTGTATTGCAAAAAAAAATATCGTATGTTACATTAAAGGTTTAAGATGAAATAAAATATTTATCTGAAGTTGTTTGGGATAATAATTTATGTTTTAGAGTTGTTATCACATCTTTTAACTTGCGGATGCATTACTCACTAGCATAGACATTTTCTTGTTAAAGCCATAACATTTCTAGTTTCTCAAGCATGTTTAAAGCTTCTTGACATGAATTTTTTTGTATTTTCATATTATCATCCTCATAATTATTTCATTTCTCTTTTTGTTTAATTATAGAAATGATTTCTTCTTTTATTAAAGCATATATGACTTGTTACTCATTTGGATGATTAAGGAAGACATTAATATTCATTCGATTAGTGTAGTGAAGTTGTCAGAATCTGATCACATAATTCTACGATGACTTTTTGATTCTCCTCATCTACTTCATTTGTAACTTGCAATTCATTGACATTGGGGGTCTTAATTTTGTAATGCTTAAAACAATTGACAATTATTTGTGGCTTCACATAAGTTGTCATGCAACAATTATATTTACAATTCCATCAAGGACAGTTATCTTTATTAGTTTCAAAACACGATTTTCTATTTATTTCAAAAGTAGGCAATTGAAGCGATTAATTAAAACCCTAATATTATTAAAACATGAATTGAAATCCTAATATTGTACTACTAAAACATTAATTATGAAATAAGAAATTTTTTTAACTATACTTCTATTAAGTTATAACTTCCTTATAGTAATAAAATTAGTTAATCTCACCATTATAACTATAGAGAGGTTTTACTGTATATAACAAATATTTTTATTAGTTTGAATATATGTATAATAATTCTTATTTACCTAAGTACATATATTAATTATAATTTTTTTATACTTTTTTTTAATGTCGGTAAGCCCACCCTGAAAGGGGCTGGAGGATCCGCCCCTGATTATACGTAGCGATAGATTATTAATAATTGAAATATGCATGACATGACAGTTGTGTGTCTTTGTCATGCATTAAATAATTTCTACTATCTTCTACCCTTTCAAAGAGCGACGCAGCCCCGAAGTCTCCCAGTTTTTCCCCTTACTATGTACCTTCCAAGTATTTTCATGCATTAAATCATTTTTATTTTCACACTGCGAATAGCTATATATATCTTGCTACTTATATAATTTCTGATCTGCAACATATATAAAATTATACGATGTTGTTTCATCATCTCCTTTTCGTTTCACTTATTTCTGCCTTTTGTCTCATAACTTTGGCTTCTGGAGCCCCCGTTTTGCCAGAAAGTGAAGGTATGATACATATATATTATTTTTCTTTAATCATATAAATTAAGAATGGTTGTGTTGTGTAAATTGATTTTGTTTACGATTAAACATTAGTAATTAATTAAATGATTAGAAATTTAATTGATTAGAGGATTTATGAGTTACATTGGACACAAATGAATGAGTAATCAAAATTTGTTAGGGGTGTATTTGTAAACTTTTAAGGTATTTTTTTTTATTTTTTAAACTAATAGGGGGGTAATCGATTTTTTATAGGGTACCCGGGAAAGGAACCAAAACCTGCATTTTAAGTTCCGGTTTCTTGAATTTAAAAACATGCACTGTGCGGTTCCGGTTCCTTTTTTTGGGAATCTGCTCTGTGCGGTTCCGATTCCCCCAAAAAATACAGGGTACCCAGAATCATTCACCCCTAAAATTAACATGTTTGTTACCAATTTTACATAGTAGTATAACTTTTTGTTTATCTCTATAATTTTGTGAATCATAAATTTTTTTAAATAGAATATCTACTTTTAGAAAATAGTCTTACTTGCATTAATAGTATATCATTATATGGCTTACATAATATTCTAATATGAGATCAGGGTTCGCATTATCTTTTAAAACCATTAACTATAATATGATCTTTTAAATAATATTATATTTTAAGACTATTAATGATAGTATTCTAATATGAGGGTTTGCATTATCTACTAGAGACAAGTATTGATGCCATCCATCATCGCAAATGTAGCAGCTGTGGAAATGATAAAATTTCAAGGAAAAAGTTTACATTTTTTTTTTTAAAGAAATTTAATTATTACAACAAATTAATTCCAACTTTTCAACTTCTATTCTTAGAAATATTATTTCTCTCTCATCTTTCCATAATGTCCATAGAGGGAATTGTTTTCCCTCCAAAAGGCAGGTCTAGGAGCCCAAAATAAATTTATTTTGCTGAAAGGTAAATTTTTAATTTTACTTTCTTAAAAAAGTTTTTAATCCGTATCAACTTATCCAAACAGCACTGTCCTTAAAATTTTAAATCCACATCATATGTGTATCTATGAAGCTTAAAGGGGCAATTAATGTCATGTGTTCTTCACATGGATTTCCGAGGCTTTAAATAAAGGAGTTTTGAGTTAGAGTCATGAAATAAATGCTTTAAGTTTCTTAGCAAAATTCTACAATCAATTATCAATTAAGTCGCTCTAGTCATATGATACTTCACACCCAACCCTCTTTCTTTTATGTTCCTACTTTACCCTTTATTGTGTTATAATTATACGCAGTGGTTGACCCAAAATTTTTGTCTAGGGGGGTTTTTGCGGCTCTGCCATTGTTTGCCAAATAACTAGTAAAAATTCAAAAAATTATCAAACCTTAAGCAAATAAAATAATACAATATCAAAACCTGAAAGAAAATAATGCAATAACACAATACATTCCTACTTGAATAAATCTATGAGAAGAAAATTTTGAATAAATGTGTAAAGTAAACCTTGAGCAAAACCTTCTTTTAATTTTTATTTATTATTATTTTTTTTTTTGGCTTCCAAAGATTATAATATAAATTTTTATGAGTTTGATCAAACCTAGCCTAAGATAAAGTCAACTAAAACTTAAATTAAGTCGACGTTGCATTGACTTTTAATATCAATTAATAAAAAAAATGGAGATTTTTCTTGGTACAAACATAGATAATAACTTAAGTTTCTTTAATAATTTTGAGCAGCTAAACGGTGATGTTTGAAATGTAGAAAAGTGATGGGTGAAGGATGAAAAATAACGTCCTTTAAAATGTAGTTAAGTTTTAATTTAGAAAAGTAGGAACATTTTTAAACACAAAACACAAAATAAACTCACAAAATACATGTCTTTTTCCCTCAAATTAGAATAAAAAACCTCCAAAAAACAAGTTTGATTCAACCATAAAATAAACTAAATTGAAATGAGCAGTACACATACGCAAAACTGATAAAATATAAAATAAAGCTAATTGTGGCACCTTGAGTAGTGAAAGCTTCAATGGTTTCAATCTTCAAAAGTTTTAAGAGCGAATAGTATGAGAAAGAGAATAAGAAAGTAAAGAATTTGGAGATAAAATCATAAGAAGCAAGTAGAGTCATGGAGAAGAAGAATGGAAAAAGTTTTAAACTTTTAATATTATATGGGCTTAATATATATATATAGTAAAACCTCTCTATAGTGATACTCTATATATGAATAAACTTTACATAGTCATAAAAAATTATATTCCTAATTTGGGATAGTTATAAATAAGAATAAACTTCACGTTGTAATAAGTTATAATTTTTCTAATTCTCGTCTTAAGGAAAGTTGCCTCCACATAGTAATAATTATATGTGTATTGCAAAAAAATATATAGTATGTTACATTAAAGGTTTAAGATAAAATAAAATATTTATCTGAAGTTGTTTGGGACAATAATTTATGTTTTAGAGTTGTTACCACATCTTTTAACTTGCGGGTACATTACTCGCTAGCATAGATATTTTCTTGTTAAATCCAGAACATTTCTAGTTTCTCAAGCTTGTTTAAAGCTTCTTGACATGAAATTTTTTGTATTTTCATATTATCATCCTCATAATTATTTCATTTCTCTTCTTGTTTAATTGTAGAAATGATTTCTTCTTTTGTTAAAGCATACATGACTTGTTACTCATTTGGATGATTAATGAAGACATTAATATTTATTCGATTAGTGTAGTAAAGTTGTCAGAATCTGATCACATAATTCTATAATGACTTTTTGATTCTCCTCATCTATTTTATTTGTAACTTGCAATTCATCGACATTGGAGGTCCTAATTTTGTAATGCTTAAAATAATTAACAATTGTTTGCGGCTTTACATCAGTTGTCATGTAACAACTATATTTACAATTCCATCAAAGATAGTTATCTTTGTTAGTTTCAAAACACGATCTTCTATCCGTTTCAAAAGTAGGTAATTGAAGCGATTAATTGAAACCCTAATATTATTAAAACATGAATTGAAATCCTAATATTGTACTACTGAAACATTAATTATAAAATAAGAAATTTTTTTAACTATACTTTTATTAAGTTATAACCTCCTTATAATAATAAAATTATTTAATCTCACTATTATGACTATAGAGAAGTTTTATTGTCTATAACAAATATTTTTGTTAGTTTGGATACATATATAATAATTCTTATTTTTTTTAATGTCGGTAAGCCCACCCTGAAAGGGGCTGGAGGATCCGCCCCTGATTATACGTAGCAATAGATTATTAATAATTGAAATATGCATGACATGACAGATATGTGTCTTTGTCATGCATTAAATAATTTCTACTATCTTCTACCCTTTAAAAGAGCGACGCAGCCCAGAAGTCTCCCAGTTTTTCCCCTTACTATGTACCTTCCAAGTATTTTCATGCATTAAATCTTTTTATTTTCACTCTGCGAAGAGCTATATATATCTTGCTACTTATATAATTTCTGATCTGCAACATATATAAAATTATACGATGTTGTTTCATCATCTCCTTTTCCTTTCACTTGTTTCTGCCTTTTGTCTCATAACTTTGGCTTCTGGAGCCCCCGTTTTGCCAGAAAGTGAAGGTATGATACATATATATTATTTTTCTTTAAGCATATAAATTAAGAATGGTTGTGTTGTGTAAATTGATTTTGTTTACGATTCTTCTTCTTCTTCTTTTTATTTTTTTATTTTTTTTTTCAGTGGAAGCTTTAAAAGAGATAGCAAAGAGGCTAGGCAAAAGAGATTGGAATTTCAGTGTAGATCCGTGCAGTAAAGAGGAGAGTTGGGTTGCAGTTGCAGAGAATCTTCTGAAAAACGTCACTTGCAATTGCTCCTTCTCCAATGGCACTGTTTGTCATGTTGTTAGCATGTATTGTCTCTCTTTTACTCGCTCTCTCTTCCCCACACTTTGACACCATTAATAAAACTGGAATTAGGAAATAATTTGATTCTTTTGGGTTGATAAATTTTTTTTTTTTTAATAAAAACATTATATATCTACTAATTGCTTCCACAAAAAAATGTTTTTAATATACCTAATAAGTGTTTTTCGTGTGGATTGATCTTCATTCTTCACTCAAGCACCACATAAATAAACATAATACACTTTTGAAAATATAAATAAAATAAAAACCTCTTTCAAATAAAATACTGAAAACTACGTGATATTTTCCATGCATATGGACAAATATGCTTTTATAGTGAATTCCAGCTAACAAAAATAAGTGCGGTGCGGCCTACCTCCGTCTAGCTACCAATTTGCTGCTTCTCGATGCTTATCTTTGTAGCTTACTGTAAAGAGCTATCATACTTTATAATTCAATCTCAAAACTTTTGATATTGATTAGTTTATAAAATAGGTTATATTGGTGTGTATTTATCTCTTTACGGATTAATCAATAATAAACTTTTAAAATTATGAAATTGAATTATTAACGTAACATTACTTTATTTTGAATATTGATACGTCTTAATATTATAAACATACAAAATATATATATATTCCTTTTTATTTTATTAAAATATAACACAGAATTCTCAAGTCTGAGAGTCTCCCTGGCACTCTTCCACCAGAATTGACTAGGCTATCTTTCCTCCAACAAATGTAAGTACTATAACCAGTCTAACCTTTTTCGTTCCAATTTTACCCTTTGTTGTTTTTTAAATGACCCATTTGACATTCACTCACTCCCTCTTCACTGTAGTGACCTCACTCGCAATTATCTCAGTGGCGGAATCCCGCCAGAATGGAGCACCCTGCCACTCATCAACATGTATGCTCTCTAGTCTCTTTCTCTCCATCAAACATTAATATTTTTTTTCTGCAAATTATCTAAAAGTTGACTGTTGTTTGACTTTGATTTTTATAAGTTAACGACTAGTCATTGACCCTTAATTTATATATTAACAATTTCATGTCGTTCATGCTAAGATGTTTACGTGAACAAATTATATATATGAGAAATTTCTGGGTATACATGGTACACTGTAACATTTGAAGCTCAGGTGCATATTATCTAATACAAGCCATGATTTTAAAAGTACTGTGTTAATTAATCTTATAATCGACATACAAAACAGTTAAAACAAACTTAGAATTTGTTGTCAATGGAAATACAAAATTCATGATATACTTGCTTTAACGTTTATGAGACTAATAACAAATGGATGGTGTGGATTCAGTACACTTCTTGGAAATCGGTTAACGGGCACAATTCCAAAAGATCTTGCAAAAATTACCACGCTTAAAAGTTTGTGAGTCTTTTCTTTTTTCAATCTTCTATTGCTTCTCAATTTCTGAAAGTTATTGCAATCTTGTTGCTAAGTGATCATTATTTATATATGTATGATAAACGTGTAGAGTCCTGGAGTTCAATCAACTTTCAGGAGATTTGCCTCCAGAGCTTGGAAATCTCCCCAGCATTGAAAGACTGTAAGACAATGAATCTGTATTTTTACATTTTTTCCCAAAATAGAAATCGAAGAAAGGGGAATTATCTCTTTACTCAGTAAATTTTACAAGTATTTGAATATTTACATTGATCTTTGTTGATATTTTTGTTGCTATAGCCTTCTTACCTCAAACAATTTTACTGGGGAATTGCCAGAAACATTTGCTAATTTGACCACACTGAAGGAATTGTAAGATAAATCTTTGATTTTTATTACTGTTTAAGCTCAAATTTGTTATTTATTGCATTTAAAATTATCAATTTTTTTTCTCAACTTTATGCAGTCGAATTGGCGATAACAACTTCACTGGACAGATACCTAATTTTATTCAGAACTGGACAGACCTTACCAAATTGTGAGAGCTTTATTCTTTATGGTTTGTGTTATATTATGATCATCTAATTATATTGAAATGGTTCAACAGATTTATTCAGGGAAGCGGTTTGGAAGGTCCAATTCCTTCTGCCATTTCTGCTTTGGAAAACTTAACTGAGCTGTAAGTGTAGTTTGATATTTCAACTCATTTATTTTTATTATGTCATGTATGTTGGATTTATATTAGAGTTGTTCTTGGTTAAATTTCAATATGCAGGAGAATCAGTGACTTGAATGGAAGTGATGCGCGTTTTCCGCCGCTTAGTAAGATGACTAAGCTGAAAACACTGTAAGTAAATTGATCCAGGACTACAGTTTGTAGAAATTATATGCATCTTCTGGTAAGAAATTGAAAGTGGTAACATTTGGTTGTGTTACAGGATATTGAGAAGTTGCAACCTCATTGGAGATATACCATTAGATCTTGGGAAAATCACAACCTTGAAAACATTGTTAGTATACTCTGTTTTTTCTCTTCCTTCTGTTTGAGATTAAAAAACATCTTTAGAAAATTCTCTACCACTACAGATGCTTCATTGATAGTTTCTTTTCTTTGGATGCTAATTTTCATTTGCTCTGCCAAATTATTTGCGCTTCACCGTATAAATTCGCTCAAACACACATCAGCTTAATGCTACGTTTTATGTTTTTATCTTGCAGAGATCTCAGCTTTAACAAGCTAAGTGGAGTGCTCCCGACCAACCCGACTGGTCTAAAAGATGTGGATTACATGTACGTATATTGTTTTAAAACTGACTTTTCTTCATCGCGGGCAACTGTTTCTAGAGTCCCTAGAAAATAATTTCCAAACTGATTCAATGGACAGTACTGCCTGATCATCTATGTTAGAGCGCAACAAGATCAACCCCACAAGCTTTCTCGTTGCACTATTAAGAAGTTTATAAAGACAAGCTCAAGAACACTGACACACATATCACAAATACATATTATAGAGACTGAAATAAGAGTGGTGTGTTTGACTTATAATTGTTAGTAAGAGGTGCATTGAAACCCCAATTCATATCTGTTTGTGATAGGATTTTAGAATTTGTCACTACTGGAACTGAAATATGAGTGGTATGTTTGAGTTATATAATTGTATAAATATCACCTTTTTATCTTTTTTTCTTGTGTTGTGCTCACCATTGGTATGAATAATATAATAATTCTCCTTAGGATTTCAGTAATGGAGATGAAAGACGTATTTTACTGAATTTTTTATGTTCATTTGCTCTAGATTTTTAACCGGAAACTTACTAACTGGAGAAGTGCCTGCTTGGCTGCTGGGAAAAGATGACAACTCGTAAGTTTCTCTCCACATGCCCTCTATCATTTATGCTAAAGAATCTTGATTCTATCACTTTTGAAACTATTGTATTCCTATATTAATTTATACATCAAATCCCGTGAAGCCTGTTGGCATAATATGGTTTCAAATGTGGACTCTGCATCTGTCCATGACATATACTTATTATGCTATCCTAACTGCCAATGCATAGGCCGTCGATATGGAAATTTAAGTTCTTTACATGGTTGCAAACTGCAATTGCAAGTGAAGAACAAGGCCGTTTCTGTTTTCCTTATTGTGTAAATACTACGTAAATATGCATTCTTAAAGATAATGAATCTCTTTGGGATTTCGGTGGCAGTGATCTTTCTTATAACAATTTCACTGGTGGAAATTCAGAGACCTGCCAACCTGGAAACGTGTAAGAATACTATTTTACTAATTAGAACCTTCAATATCTTCTATATTCTGAGTTTTATATTTGTACCATTTACTGTAGGAACTTGTTTGGAAGCTCTTCTAAGGCCAGTGACTCGTAAGTTTTTAATTCACCTTCCAATAACATGCATGAAAAAACAATTTGATTTATTTGTGTCATTTAACAAGATCCAGTGATAAATTACGTTGTTATGATGCTAACCTCTACCTTTACATTTTTTTAGCACCAGCATTGTTTCATGTTTGAGGAGCTCTCAGTGTCCAAAAAGTAAGTTGAAATGTCAAATATGTTTTCATAATTCTAGGCTCTCATGTTATTTTCTGGATCTGCTGCTTGTTAATCTTCTTTTTAGACATCTATACTGCAATACACTATATAGCTATGGCCAGTTAGGTTTGGACCTTCTTCTATTTGGTTGTTCTCGTAGTATGCTGTAGTTGGAAATTTAGATCGCAATGTCTCGTCCAAAATCTGTGACATAACTGCAGTTTTACATTGACAAAATGCTGAGTTTTACATTGTCTTTCACAAATGGTGCATAAATCATGTGTCACTCACGCCCCCATCCTGGGTCATCCCTATCCCGTCGGATCTAGACACTTCGAGAGACTTAGGATCGAGAGAGAACGGTGAAAATTTTCAAAAAACAATTTATAAAACTCCATTTATACAAACTTTAATGACAGTAGTACAACACAAAACGTAATTCTTAAAAACATAAATCTTAGAAAACAATTTACATAAAACATTGTATTAGAACTGGCCAATCTAAAGCGTATCTTGTATGCAAACCTAGGGGAAAAACATAAAACAGTGAGCAGGGCTGGCTCAAGGGGTAGGCAAGTGAGGCACCTACCTAGGGCCCCCAAAAATAGAGGTCCAAATTTTTTATAAATTTTTTTTTTAATATACTACAAAAAGGAAAACTGTGTATAATTTTTTATCTAGGCCAAGGGGCCCCCCAAAAAAAGTCAAAAAGACCAAAATTATTATAAACCTTTTCCATATATTCCCACCCAAAGTCTGACAAAATAGCAAGTTTGTACCTCTAGTTTCATATATTCTAATTTATACCCCTAAATTAATACATTGAATTTCTTTTAACAATAAAAGACAAAAATAGTCATTTATGTGTCTCAAATTACCCACCCCCAATTCCATCCCAAAATTTGACATTCACATAAATCATTTTCACCCCTCTTTCGCCGCCGGCCTTTGGAGTTGATTCCGATCCATTTTCTTACCAAAATCGACCGAAATCATCACTTTATCATCTCCCAAGTGTTTTCCTAACCTTGATAGCCCTCGATTTGGCCAATTTTTTACGAATCTCGCAACCCAACTCCATAGCATGCGACAGCCTTTTGTGGCCTTTTTGGCATGTATCCGACGTTGTTGGCTTTCCTCGACACCACCATTTTCCTCCTCTCAGCCATCTCACCAAAACCCCTATCATACCTCATTTGTTTACTCTGTCAATTGCCAGACACCGATACATTTTGGGCCGCGACTTCTCAAGCCTTTTCCGGTCAATCTTGACATTGGAAATCACTCATTTCACCACCCATCGCTTCTCCAACATCTGTTCTCCAAAACCCCCCACCAACCTGACCCCATTAGCCCGCCGTCTACCTCTCCTAGTGATTTTGCATTTCAAAAGTCAAGAAGAATAAATTTGAAATAATTTTTTGTAATATATGTTTATATTTTTAGAATGCCCCATAGTAACTCTTGCCTAAGATCACAAATGTTCTTGAGACGGTCCTAACAGTGAGCTGGGAAGCCCAGTGAGTGGATAATACAGTTATATAAGGAAATAGCCTTTAGTCTTAAAAACATGCATGAGGAAAACAGTAGAACCTTACATCATACAACTCATGCCAAACAAGGTAATCCACACCCTCGTACCAAATTTTCGAATGTCGTGAGTCATTGTATCAAATTCACCTAAATCGATACACCCATCACCAAACCGAGTATATGTACCTCTCCCAAAATGAATCCATCTTTTACCCAAGCCTATACCTGCTGGGAATCCACAATTTCCACCCCAACCTATATCCACTAGGTATCCACAAATTCCACTCATTTAGTTAGTGCAACCACCACCACACTACTACACTAGTACCCAAGGTCCCTAATATAGACAACCAACTAGGCCACCCACAATTTATCCTTGGGGTGACACCATTCACAGTCTATTCTCGAGATGGCTAAATCATCACAAGATAACCATACTCAATCCACAGTATATCCTCAGGGTGTCATAATATGGTATTATATAAAAGAATCATGCCCATAGTTTATCCTTGGGGCATCAAGTATCAATATCCTACCCACAGTCTATCCTCGGCGTGTAATCTTGCCTAGAGCTCATCAGGCTCCCATCCTGCCCCGGTAGGATGGTATAGATCATCATCGTTCAGTAATACGGGTCATCTCGATACCGGTGTCATCTCGTCAAATCCCACCCAAGGTCTATCCTTGGGGTATCATAATCCACATAGGCCAATATCCACATGGTATAATCTGTCAAATCCCACCCAAGATCTATCCTCGAGGTATCAAGTAATAATATCTAACCCACAGTTTATCCTCAGGGTGGTACCATCCATAGTCTATCCTCAGGATGACACACTCTCATTGCGCATATGAGGTCAAATATACAGGTGCTAATTGATGGGGGATGGCTACTACAAAAAAGTTGTCTCAAATCCAACAAACACATTCTTACTCTTCAACCCAAACACTTGTTTACATACTCACTCGAATATTCTAACACTTCACACTTCATGCCATGTAGTAGTATCTTACAGTTCTATTCAACAACACGTAAATACGAGTATGATACTCGAAACATTCCCAAAACATATCACTGTGTAAAATATCCATTCACACCCACAACTGTCGTTTGTTTATTTAGCCTCGAAACTTCTAATCCTTACAATTTACCCCCTACATGTGCTTCAATATCGTAAAACTGACAAGCTGCCCCAGAGATTCCTTCACCAATTACAATCCAAATCAGAACCCAGAAATCCCTTCAACAACATTTTGGGCCTTTTTAATAATAGGCCAACCAACTAAAAAACCCAACCACACAATTTGGGCCACATCATTTATAATCCAGCCCACTACAACAATACGACCCAAAACCTATTTAACACAATTTGGGCTTCATTAATAATAGGCCGGCCCACTAGCCAATTAAACCCATAGATTTTTGCACATAAACCATTATATAAAAAATCACATCTTTAGAAATCATACACATGTTCTACTCATTTAGAATCATTGCAGCAAATTATCAAATTTCAATCCACTTCATGCGTTCATACCAGTTCATGGACAACACAAATAAATAAATAAAAAAGTTTACACATCAATTGAACTAATAATCACCAAAGAAAGAATATCTTAAGCTTTACTTGCCTCCCATAACCTTAATCTCCCTCTAATCCTTCCGATCACTGGAGTTTGCCCGCTGACGACCATTTTTCCAGCCACTTGCATCGCTTTCTACTCCTCTCTCTCTCTCTCTCTCGCTGTTTCTTCCTTTCTCTCCCTTCTTTCTTTTCTTTCTTTACCTCTTCCTCTCCTTCTCCTCCATTTTCTCTCTTCCCTTTCTTTTCTTCTTTCTCTCCTCTTTTTCTTCTTCTTCTCGTCTTTCTCTTCCTCTCCCTTTCCCTTTTATTTTGAACGATCATTGTTCATAAAAAATATCTGGCAAATTTCTTTAGTCCTTCCCTGTTTCGGCAATTGTATTCTGCTCCCTCAAAAGTTTCAAAATCTAACACTTTAAACCCCAAAAATCACCGAATCCAATTTAATAAAATTCCATAAAATACAGGGTATTGCATCATGGTATTCTCTGTTTTAGCTTACAAGTTTCGACAAGTTCTCTCTTATAATTTGGACCCTCAGGAGGCAATGCTATGCTAACATATTTATTGTTGAACTTCTGATGATTTGCTCCATACAAACTTCTGATGTTTTGTTCCATGCGACCATGACATGGTCATTTGCTTATTATCAATCCAAAATGGTGCCTTGAGTGTATTTATTAAGGTACAGATCATTGGTTAGGGACTACATTCTATTCCAACAAGGATATATCACCTAGTTTGTTCGATCTTTCAGATTAAAGTAATTAGTGTTTAGACAAGTTCAAAAGGGCACTCTTTCAGACTTCTTGAAAAAATATGAATGCTATAATGTTTAAAGGAATAGCAATAGGGTTAACAGCTTCATGCCTTGACTTTGTACTCCCCTCCACTGCCTGCCAGGGTAATAACTAAAAGGAAGAAAAATAATTCTGTACTCAATTAAAATTTTGTTCTATTTATTTTATTGTTCGGCAGTTACTAAACTCTTGTTTTTTATTCCCAGCTTTGTACTTTCTTGGTATTAATTGTGGTGGAAAAGAAGAGACTATCAATGGAAGAACATATGAAGATGATACATATCAAGCAGGACCTTCAAATTTTTACAGAAGAGATACTTGGGCATTTAGCAGCACTGGTCGCTTCTTGGATGATGACCGCCCCATTAAAACATATATTGCGCAAAATTCATCCATACTGTCAACTAATGATCCCCAGCTATACACACAAGCGCGCCTTTCTCCCCTCTCTCTAACTTATTATGGATTTTGTCTGGGAAATGGAAACTACACCGTCAAACTCCACTTTGCAGAGATAATTTTTACTGATGACAAAACATATAGCAGCTTGGGGAGGCGAGTGTTTGATGCTTACATTCAGGTGAATATTGCATTATACTTCTTAACCATCAACAAATTTCTTGATATTAACCAAACTGTGACGATTTTCCCTTTTTATTGAATTTTGGCGTATAATAAACTATGGGACTAGCCTATGTAAATTTCAATTTCTACCAGTGTTTAGATTGTTGTTAAAGCTGAAATCTAAGAGTATATACGCCGCCTCCATGATAAGTTCAGTTAATTGGATACGATCATCGCAGGGAAAGCGGGTGCTGAAGGATTTCAATATTGAGGTTGCAGCTGGCGGCGTTGGGAAGGCATTTATACATTCAATACCTCATGTTTCCATCACCAACAAAACTGTGGAGATCCGTTTTATTTGGGCTGGGAAAGGAACAACAGATATCCCTACTAAAGGAGTTTATGGTCCTCTTATATCAGCTATTTCTGTTGAACCTGGTAGGTTTAATGGTAAACACAGCTTCTCCTTGTGTTTGTTGCTATTTGTTTGTGCTAGGTATTATAGATTTCACAAAAATTTCCTAGCTTCATGTCTATATAATGAATTTCTAATAGTTTAAGTAATTTTCAATTGAACAGTACTTGCGTTTCGTTAAGGCGATTGTAGAACATAAGCTAATATGAATAAAGCCAGCTCATTCCCTTATTAAAGCATTTGACTAGAGTATTTGACTTGTCCGTGAAGCAAAAGTGTTCATTGCTTCATTTTATTTGGTATATTTTTAAGATTTTAAGGAGGATCTCTACTTATGTTTTACCGACTTTACTTGGAATGTTGTATTCTCCCGTCTGTGTAACTTAGTTATTTCTCTCCAAGCAGAATTCACTCCCCCATCAGAAAAAAGCAGTAGTATATCTACTGGCACAGTCATTGGAATCGTGGTTGGAATAGTGGTCACTATTATCCTGGTTGTGGGTATCCTTTGGTGGAAAGGTTGTCTAAGACAGAAGAGTACATTGGAACAAGGTATATGTTATGCTATTAACAATTTTCTTACAAGTTCTTTCATTTATTCACATATTTTATACCAAATGTGGCAGAGGAGGAAATCAGTACACATTAGATCTCCCTCAAAATAGAATTCGGAAATAAAAAGAAATTATCTTAGACATGTTTCTTATCTAAGCTGGTTTCTTCCACAGATCTAAAGGGTCTGGACTTGCATACTGGTTCCTTTACCCTAAGGCAAATTAAAGCTGCCACAAACAACTTTGATGTAGCTTACAAGATTGGAGAAGGTGGCTTTGGTCCTGTTTACATGGTATTGTGTTACACATTTTGAATACTTGCTTTTGTTTAATATCATGTATCAACTATTTTTGTACCCTTTTTTAATACAGGAATCTTACTGCTTTTCTAAAACATGCAGGGTATCTTGGCAGATAGCACTGTAATTGCAGTTAAGCAGCTATCATCGAAATCTAAGCAAGGAAATCGAGAGTTTGTGAATGAGATTGGCATGATTTCTTCTTTGCAACACCCCAATCTAGTAAAGCTTTATGGATGTTGTATAGAAGAAAACCAATTATTGCTAATCTATGAGTACATGGAAAATAACAGTCTTGCTCGAGCTTTGTTTGGTAAATTTCAACTATATAGGCTTTATCTATCAACGATGAATAAAACACACACTTATAGACATGCATGTGTTAGCAAATTCTAAAGTTTGTTTATTGGTGGTTTAAAGGTCCAGAAGAGCATCAGTTGAAGTTGGATTGGCCAACAAGGCACAAGATATGTGTTGGTATAGCGAGAGGTTTGGCTTATCTCCATGAAGAATCAAGGTTGAAGATTGTGCATAGAGACATCAAGGCCACTAATGTTCTTCTTGATAAGGACCTAAACGCTAAGATATCTGACTTTGGTTTGGCAAAGCTAGACGAAGAGGAAAACACCCACATAAGCACACGAGTTGCCGGAACATTGTGAGTTTGCGGCATACTAACATGCTCCTTTTTCCCGTCTCATAAAAATTCTATAAAAATCAATAATCAGAATGAGCAGGGTGAGGATGGTAAGTCCATAAGTTATATGCATGTCTGACTTAATATTATACTCATGATTTTGCAGTGGATACATGGCACCAGAATATGCAATGCGAGGTTATTTAACTGATAAAGCAGACGTTTATAGTTTTGGAGTTGTTGCCCTGGAAATTGTTAGTGGGAGAGGCAACTGTAGTGTGCGGTCAAAGGGAGAAACTATTTATCTTCTTGATTGGGTAAACTTTACTCCATTCTTTGTTGTATTTGTTATTCTTCATTATGGCTGCAGTCGTCATTAGAATATAGCCGAGCAATGTTATATTCCAAACAACCAGTATGTTTGTAGCACACCAAGGCAAGATGGTGATACACATTTTGATTGAAAAATTTTAGAAATTCTTTAAATGAAATGCTCAGACTTCATCTAGGATTGGAGCTATTATTATTACTGTCATGTATCAAATTCTACAATAACTATCTATTTTACGACTAATCTTTTTTCGTTTAACCCTCTTTTCAGGTTCATCTCTTAAAAGAGAAAGGACACTTAATGGATCTAATCGATCCAAGATTGGGCTCTGATTTTGACAAAGAAGAAGTTATGGTGATGATCAATGTGGCTCTCTTATGCACCAATGCCTCTTCTGCCATTAGGCCTACAATGTCTTCAGTTGTAAGCATGCTTGAAGGCAAGGCTGTTGTTCCAGATTCGATTCCAGACTCAAGTATCTCCATTGATGAGACCAAGTTCGAAGCAATGAGAAATTATTATCAGGGCGGCAGAGAACAATCTAACAATGGGAACCAGAGCTGTAGTATGTCGGCGGACGGGCTGTGGACAGGTTCTTCAACATCTGCGGCTGATCTTTATCCACTCACTCTGGATTCAGAATATCTCATTGCTAGAAATTAGTCTTTAGAGATGTGCAATTTCCTTTGGTTGGTTGCTTGTTTGACAAACTATCTTAACCTCAAACAAGTTCAAATATGTTATTTTTGTATACTTTTTTCCTGTTATTTTTCCACATGTTAAACAGAATATAATTGAATAAAACTAGGATAGGTCTACGAATATAATTGTTTTGTATAAAACCAGAATATACTTACTCTTGAGAGATTAGTCACCAAAGAGTATCCTATATTGACTGAGAATGACAATGATCTTGCATTCTTCATTAACATGCAATTGGAAGAGCTGATGAGATACCCTCCACTGCATGTTTCATTGGTTGATACACTGTTATTCTCCGTTTCTAGTAGCAACCGTATCAACATCGAGTCGTTGAATACACAACAAGATCCAATACTGAATCAAACAGGAGTTAATCCATCGAATGAGGTGCGTGGGATTGGAGAGCATGTGGCACCTAGTTATACATAACATTTTCATCCGGATGTGGGCACAGGTGCAGAAGAGTTTCAAAACGCCCTGAAATTGGATGAGTTGAATATAGGGATGGAAGATATGGAGAATGATATGAGTTACAGTAATCTAAGTAATTGACCCATAACATTTTTCATACCTAAAAACCCTCCTCTTAGGTCTACTCAAGATAAATCACTCCAAAATATAAATGAGAGCCCACTTTACTGCACCCTTGGGTGTGACTTTGGTGAAGGACTTCCCATTGAACCATTTCTCAAAATCATGAATTTTCCACAACTAAAATTTTATGTACTCGTCCTTGATTTCATTATTCACTTTAGGGTCCAATCTAGATGGTTCTCCAAATAATATTACACCTGTTCTTGGTTGAATTTCAATATGCAAGAGAATCAGTGACTTGAATGGAAATAATTCAAAATTTCCATCGCTTGAAAACTTGATGAATCTGAAGATAGTGTAAATGCATTGATTCAGTCCATGACTACACGGTTGTAGAAATTATAAGAGTATCTTTGACAAGTTGAAAGTGATAACATTTGGTTGCGCTACAGGATATTGAGAAATAAACTCATTGGAGACATACAATTATATATCTTGGGAATTTTACACAATTGCAAACCTTGTAGTACACTTTGTTTTTTTTTTTCTTCTTTTATTTGAGATGAAAGAACATCTCTAGAAAATTCTCTACCACTTCAAGGTTTTTCGCACATGCATAGCTCAAATTTTCATATACTTTTTTGGCAAAAGGATTCAATTCAGGCTATTAGAATACAGGAGGACCCCCACGTGGTGTTTGTGTTTGTGTGTGTGTGTAAAGCATTTTAATTAGAAAAATATCTGCTAAACTCACATGGTTTTGTTCATCTATGACTTTCAAATGTTTCATAGATGGTTTGTTTTATCTAAATCTCAAGTTTCAAATGTTATGCTATAGATGCAAAAAATCTACGGTTACGGAAATAGGGTATGATCCCTAGATTAAGGCTACTGACAATCCGTTGGACCTACACATATTAAGAGAGAAGCGTGAAGCTTGCGAGAAACATCGAGGTAGTGTTTGTCGTGAACATTCCGATGCTCAAGTCAACAAGGTTGAGAGAGACGATTTAATGAGAATTAAAGGAAAGAATGATTACTAGGAGTTTTGTCGGAGGCCAAGACTATAGTGAGGGTGTAGAATTCTTGGGAGCAAAAACTTAGGAGCAAGTATGTGATTTTGTGTAATGGAGATTGAATGAATTATGAGAGGCAAGCTTCTGTTTATATAGTGTACCTAAGGGGTTGAAATCCTAGTAGGACATTGAGTTCTACTTTGGGAGATAATCCTATCAGGAAATAAAGGTGTTTTCTTGTCCTTATCAGATTATGTTTACTAGTTTGAGTAAGATTTAGGAAATGAGTTTCTGATTTCCTATTTATGAACTATTGTAGGCTAATTGGCCGAAACCTAGTTTAGCTTAACTTGTAGGATAGTCTAACTCATTTAGTGGATAGTTCACAATGTGACTTTAAGCATAGATCCAACTAAAATTGGGCTAAAGCCTTAAGCCGTGACATGTTTATTTGGTGATTGAGTCTCGTCAGGCCTAAGACGATTTTCTGCCTATACATATGCCTAATTATTTAGGCATCACTATATAAATTCCCTCATAACATAAGCTCAATGCTCTGCTTTCTCTTGCAGAGATCTCAGCTTTAACAAACTTAGTGGAGTGATCCCAAGTAACTTCATCTCGATGTTTTCAAACACTTCAAAACTACGTTTGTTTGTAACTATTGCCCGATAATGGTGTGCATCTGTTGGAGTAACCAATCCTGGCTGCATGACATAAAATTATAAAATATCACAAAAAAATAAATCTTCAAAAAACCATGAAACTAACTTGACTTACACTCTGGTATCGGTCTCATTCGATGACATTCAATCTGATAGCTATCTACCCAAATGACCCATACCATGTAGCAGTCATTCATATCTTAGGTGTTGGTGACCGAAACCTGGGAATTGGTCATCAATACTTCAGCATAATTGACCAACACCAACGTATTAGTCAGTTTGCTTTTAGGTATGAGTGATTGATTCCCACGTTGGTTTGATTGATTCGAATTTGGTGAGGAGGGAAAGATCTTACTAAGGCTTAGGAAGGGTTAGGGTTTAGGTTTGGTTGAAAATGAGTATATATACAACTACAAGGGCATTTTCGTTCATGCAAAAATGGTAAAATGTGGTTGGGTTAATCCTAAACCCTAAACCCTGCACACTTGGGTTAGTTTTCATTTTCAACCCCAATCTTGAGTCATTTTTTATAATTTCTTTTTCTTTTTCATGATAAATTGAGACCATTTAAACAGTAAAAGCAGAACTACTATGGGTCAATTTTGAAATTACAGAACTATATGGTCAGAATAAAATTCTGATTATTTGTATCCCACTCTCTGAAAAGAGGAAACTTCTTTCCAGCCATTTTTTTTTTAAAAGTCAGCTTAGTAGCAAATATCAAATTCAAAGTCAACTCTTTAAGCTTCTGTACACTTCATATATATTCCGTACTATCATTCTCATGCCATCCATCATCAATATTTCAATTTCTACTTATAATTATTATTATTATTTCAACGACGTGTAAAAAATCTTGTGAGAAATTTGATCAAAATTTATTTTTTAATATTTGAAAAAAAAATTAATTCAATTTAAAAAAAAAAAAATCCAGGTTCCGAGACAATGGTACAATACATGATTCTATAATATTATTGGTCTATTTAATATATTTTAGTTTAAAAAAAAGAGAAAAAAAAATGAGGGATCTTATATGGTAGCCACTAATAAAAGCAAAAGATGGGTAATGGGTACCATTTTCAAAAGGGTCTTATTGAATTAATTTTTTTTTTTTTTTTAATGTTCATAATTTCATGCAAGTTGTGAGTTAATTAAGGAAAAGAAGACTATTAACATCAGTAATATATACGTTAATTAACAATTAAAGAATGATAATTGATCTGTCTCCATGTGGTAGCTTCTTCCAACAACGTTTTCCAAAGTCCATACATTGCTTTTTCTCCTCTGCTAAACAAAAAGGCTATATATGTTCTTCTTTCATTGTCTTCTCTTTCTTCTTTTACCTATTGCCAGACAATGAAGGTACGTAAAGAAGAGAGATATATACATAATTACATGGCTACTATATCTTTCTTGCTTCTAATGAATGGTTTTATTTGATCCATGAAGTGGAGAAGAGGGTTGGGCGACTGTGAATCCAGTCAAAGGATTTGAGAATGCTGTCAGCTGCAACTGTTCCTTCTCAAACGCCACCGTTTGCTATGTCGTTAGCATGTATGCTTCCTAATTTGCATTAATTAAATCTTATTCCTTGTATAAAAAATACTTTTGAGTTATATACTAAGAAATTACATGTATATATAGATTCTCTCCGAGCAAAATGTAAATTTACATATCTATTATTTACTGTTGAGGATCAAGAAATTATTTGTTCCTCAATCCTAAGCTACCCACAACTCCCTCTTTTGCATGTTTTCTTGGTATAAAAGGACACAAGACATTGGAGAGAGATACAACTCAATGATAGCTCGCTGTCTTTAATAAGAAATTGTTTCCTAAACGATCGGTTACTCGTAAAATTTGAAAGGAGTATGATTTGGGAGACATTTTTATTTAAATTCGTTAATAATCAGACTTTTTATCATTCAACATAAACTTGTTTTTAAAAAAAAAAAAAAAAAAAGTTAATAATCAGACTTTTTATCATTCAACATAAACTTGTTTAAAAAATATATATATAGTTAAATAAAATGATAATACCCTAAATTAAAATTATACCCTTTCTTAAATATGACCCAAGAAAGAAAAAAAAATTAACAAAAAATTGATTTGAATTGAGTATACAGTAAAGTTATTGTAACATGGTGTCCTTTGTAAGTTTATGAATTTATGAGGATCATATTTTTTTAACCCATAGATAAGAGCAAAGAATTAAGTTGCTCGTTTTTTCTTGTTTTGATTTTTTTTTTTTAATATTTAAAGTACCAGTGAAACAGTAATTTTATTATCCTTGATTTAGTGGTTTGATAGAGACTATTGAGTAAAAGTTCTCGAAAAGTCTCAAATTTTAGTTTCTTCTTAATCGCTAATAAATGTGACCATTAAAACTCTTATCATACTAATAGTTATAAGTGTGACCATTAAAACTCTTATCATACTAATAGTTATAAGGTACCGAGAGATAAGGTCAGGTGAGTGTGAGCTGGCCGGACACCATCTCCGGTCATCCAAACCAAAAAACAACTTTATTACCCTACTCCCAAAAAAATAGGGGTAAAAAGGTAAATCCAACCAGCAAAGTTATAAGTTGAAGTTCTCTTACGTGAATGTCAAAAGAAATAGAAGAAAACTAAGCGTTCTATGAAACAAAAAAAAGGATTTAATCATCGGAGTGGGAGAGCACTTAAGCTTAGCAGAAATGGGGACTAATCAGGGAGAGAAAGATGAGTATTATTTATGAATTTGGGATGAGATTGATTGCTGATAAGAGTTTATATTTACAACTCTTCTGAGATTGATTACTGATAAGAGATTATATTTACAACTCTTCTCTGCGAAAACCTAAGCTTAATTATTTCAATATGTTGTAATATTTACCGCCAACTTCAATTGAAGCACAGAATTCTTAAGGCTCAGAATCTCCCTGGCGTCCTTCCACCGGAGTTGGCCCGGCTACCTTGCCTCCAAGAAATGTAAGTGGTTCTGTTACATTTAAATTCTAATTCTAATTATTATATATGATATTAAAACATAACGAACATAACTGTCTGTTGCTCAAATTTGGCACAGTGACCTCACTCGCAACTACCTTAATGGCACAATTGCTCCAGAATGGGGCTCGTCAACATGTAAAATCTCCTTTGTTACTTTCTATCATTCATACCCATCAAGCATTTTCATTGCCTCTCTCAATTTGCAATATGCTTTAGTGATTTGATTTGATTGCATTAAACTGTGGTTGCAAATGAAGGATTTTTTTTTTCAGAAACTGACATTTTATCTTGTTCCAATTAGTTCCCTTATTGGAAACCCGTTAACTGGTTCAATTCCGAAAGCGCTGGTAAACATTAGCACTCTCACCAGTTTGTGAGTCATTGTATTGCCAATCTTTGGTTCCATTCAATTTGAGAGAGTTTATAGTAATGTTTGTTGTTGATTTGTTCTTGTTTATGTATGATAAATGTGTAGAACCCTGGAGTTCAATAATTTGTCCGGAGATTTTCCTGCGGAGCTTGGGAGTCTACCGAGAATCGAAAGAATGTAAGATACTAATAAGCTTAATTTGTATATCTCTTTAATTTTTACATCAATATTGGTTGTTCTTGTTGTTTCAGACTTCTTAGTTCAAACAATTTTACTGGGGAATTGCCAGAAACATTTGCTAATTGACCACAATGAAGGATTTGTAAGATTACTTCTGATGTTTCTTTCTCTTACAAGGTTCTTATGAGCTCTATTTAGGTATATTCAATTAAATGTTTCTTTTCTTTCTCAATTTGATGCAGTCGAATTAGTGACAACCAATTCTCAGGACAGATTCCCAATTTCATTCAGAACTGGACAAAGCTCGAAAAACTGTGAGAAGTTTACTCTTCATGATTTGTTTTAAGAATATGTATCATGGGAACCTAATGAAACTGAAATTGAAAATGTAACAACAGAGTTATTCAGGCAAGTGGTATGGTTGGTCCAATTCCTTCCGGCATTGCCACTTTGGAAAAGTTAACTGATCTGTAAGCATTTTTTATTAATTTGACTGATTTCTTTTGTTATGTTGTGTTTGTGCATGTTGGATTTGTTTAGGCTTTTATTCTTCGTTGAATTCAGTATGCAGGAGAATTAGTGACTTGAATGGAACTGAAGCAACTTTTCCACCACTTAGTAAAATGAAGATGAAGATACTGTGAGCATAAGTGATTACACAATTTACAGAAATTAACTTTATCTTTTGGCAGTTGACAGCAATAATGTTTGGTTGTGTTACAGGATATTGAGAAGTTGCAACATCATTGGTAAACTACCAGAATATCTTGGACAAATGACAACTTTGAAAACCTTGTAAGTATACGCTTTTTTTTCTTAATCTTTTTGTATATTTTCTTTTCTTTCCCTCCTGTTTGCAGATGAAACAAAGAAAATTTTGCCCCAAAACTGTAATGTTGTTTTCATGTTCACACTCAGATTTCACCATTTGCTGTGGGAAATTTAAATTCAATATAGGATATTTGTTCTCAAATGTTTCATATATAGTATCTTTGTGTTGGCTTCTCTCTTCCATTTTTCAGGAAAGAGTTTGGTTGTATAAATGTTTGGGCACATAGGACATATTGATTTATTAAATGTTGTGCTTATGAATTTTCTTGCAGAGATCTCAGCTTTAACAAACTAAGTGGAGTAATTCCAAACACCTTTAGTGGTCAAGCTGATGCAGATTACATGTAAGTATTTTTCTTTAATCTGAATTTCCGCACAGCAAGCTAGTTCAATGGATCATATGCCTGATTAGCAACATTGAATTTTGGTCCAAACTACTATGTGAACTTAAACTGTCAATTCAAGTTGATCAAATGGTTGAACTGGAAATTGTTGGTTTGTGAGGCATTAACTATTGTGATAATGGCTTATCTTACGTTGAAAATTGTCCTGATAGACAAACAAAATTTTGGCCATTTAGCATTGTCATCATATCAATAATTATTATCCTTATTAAGTTCAGTAATTGAGAAGACAAACATGTTATACTGAAGCTTTTTATATGTTCATTTTTTCTAGATATCTAACTGGAAACTTGCTTACCGGACCAGTGCCTGCTTGGATGCTGGAAAAAGGAGACATGATGTAAGCTTCTCTTCTACATTCTCTGCAATTTGTTAATTTATGGTAAAAAATTCCGATTCTATCATATTTTACATGTTTTCACTCTTATGTTAATCCATAGTACATCCAATTTTGTGATGCCTATTTACATGATCTGATTTGAATTGCCAACCCGTAATCTGTCTATGTCTTCTGATTATGCTGTCATAATACTGCCAATGCATAGGCGGTCCTTACACGAATTGAAGTTCTTTTTACTGTTGCCAGTAATGGAAAAAAGATGTTTTTGTTTTCCTTTCGAGTAAATTCTCCCAGTCATGGAGCTCTGTATTTGTACCAGTTATATCTACATAATTATGAATCAAAGTTAATGCTCATTGTACGCTCAAAGTAACTAAAGTACTTCTTGGTTTATGCAAAATTGAATTTTAGAAAACGGATAGTCGGATATTAGATGTGTAACAACAGATACATATGGGCCTATGGTTTATAACATCTGTTTTACACATTTATTCTTAAAGATGATGAATCACACTGAAATTTCTGTTGCAGTGATCTTTCATATAATAATTTCACTTATAAAAGCTCAGAGGCGTCAGGCTGCTGCCAACATAAAAACGCATAAGAGTCCTATTTACCTCATTAGATCCTTCAACACTGGATTATCAACATTGCTACAGAGTTGGAAACTGATTAATATGGCTCATTTTCTGTACGAACTTGTTTGCAAGCTCTTCTAAGGCTAGTAACTTGTAAGTTTCAAATTCACCCCTTGGGAACATGCACAAAAAGTGCATGGCTTAATTGATTTTATGTTAACTTAATTCATTTTCTTTTCACTTAACATAAAATCAATTATATATCATGTTGTTACGATGCTAACCTTTACCTTACATTTTTCCAGCACTGGAATCGTTCCATGTCTGGAAGCTCCCGTTGTCAAAAAAGTAAGCTCAAATATCCTATACCTTTTCATAATGCAAAAGTTCTTTTCATTATTTTCTTGTTCAAGATTTACCAAACCGTTGTGTCTTGTGGTTTAGCTTGGTATTCTCTTCATATAAATTGTGGCGTGAAAGATGTGGTTGCCGATGCAAATACTAAATATGAAGCTGATACAGATCCAGCAGGACCTTCAAGATTCTTCACGAGTAGAACTAATTGGGGATTTAGCAGCACTGGTCACTTCTTGGATGATGACACCCCTTCGAAAACCTATATTTGGCAAAATACTAATACTTCTAGACTCTTAACAAATGATTCTGAGCTATACATGAGAGCTCGCCTTTCTCCCATCTCCCTAACATATTATGGGTATTGTCTGGAAATGGAAACTACACGGTCAACCTTCACTTTGCAGAAATAATGTTCAAAGATGACAATACTTTTAGCAGCTATGGGAAGCGCATATTAGATGTTTACATTCAGGTAAGTAGAGCATTATACTTCCTAATCATCAACCAAGGTCTAGATAGTCACAAACTTTGAAGTCGGGTCCGTAAAATAGTTTTCTGGTTCCGCTTAGCAAATATTAAAATTCATTTTGACCAGGCTTTGGATTGGTGTAAAATCTGAAATCTAAAACTATGTGCGCTGCCTGTTGCAGGGAGTGTAGGTGCTAAAGGATTTCAATATTGAGGATGAAGCTGGTGCTGTTGGTAAGGCAATTATAAAATGATTTCCTGTCGCTGTGACCAACAGTACCTTGGACATTCGCTTTTATTGGGCTGGGAAAGGAACAATTGGTATCCCTTACAGAGGAATTTATGGTCCTCTTATATCAGCTATTTCTGTTAGTCCTGGTAGGTCTGCTTCTAAAACAAGCTTCTTCTTATTTATACTTTGCTTCTTTGAACAACATGGAATGCAAAAGGAATGGTATTTCCTACCATTTCACCTCCGAATTCAAGCCAATCTAGTAATAGTTTCCCTCATTCTTTCTTTAAGTATGATATAAGTTTTTACTCAGGGATCATGTGTGGTCATTCTATTTGACTTTTTATTCCTCTTCGAGCAGATTTCATTCCTCCACCAGAAAATGGCAGCAGCAGTAGTATATCAGTTGGCACAGCTGTAGGATTTGTGGCTGGAGCAGTAGTCGCCCTTATCCTGGTTGCTGGTATCCTTTGGTGGAAGGGTTGTCTAAGACCAAAAAGCACATTGGAACGAGGTATTCAGAATGCTGTTAACATATTTCTTACAATTAGAAGTTTTTTTATTCACATATTTTACTAATTCAGTTTCTTCCACAGATCTAAAGGGTCTAGACTTGCATACTGGTTCCTTTACTTTAAGGCAAATTAAAGCCACCACAAACGACTTTGATGTAGCCCACAAGATTGGAGAAGGTGGTTTTGGTCCTGTTTACAAGGTATTATATTACTCATAGTGCTCACTTTCTTCTGTTTAATATATAATTATTGTTCTTGTACCCTGTAATACAGAAATCTTGCTGCATTTCTCAAACATGCAGGGTGTCTTGGCAGATGGTACTGTAATTGCAGTTAAGCAGCTTTCCTCTAAATCAAAGCAAGGAAACCGAGAGTTTGTAAATGAGATAGGCATGATTTCTGCTTTGCAACACCCTAATCTTGTAAAGCTTCATGGATGTTGTATCGAAGGAGATCAATTATTGCTAATTTACGAGTACCTGGAAAATAACAGCCTCGCTCGAGCTTTGTTTGGTAAATTTCAACTATATTTGAAGTACACATTCACTTTGTCGAATCAAAGATGAATAAGGCATACACGTACACATGCATGTGTTAGTTGACTCTAAATCTTGTTTCCTGGTGGTTTAAAGGTCCAGAACAGTATCAGTTGAAGTTGGATTGGCCAACAAGACAAGCATCTGTGTTGGTATAGCGAGAGGATTGGCTTATCTCCATGAAGAATCAAGGTTGAAGATTGTCCACAGAGACATCAACGCCACTAATGTTCTTCTTGACAAGGACTTAAACCCTAAGATATCTGACTTCGGTTTGGCCAAGCTAGACAAAGAAGAAAACACCGACATAAGCACACGAGTTGCTGGAACATTGTGAGTTTGCTGCATTCTAATTTGTTGTCAATGTGTTCCCTTTCTCCCATTTATGCTGGACTATTTTGCAATGACATTGAGTTTGCATGCCTTAACATGATTCTTTTTTAATGATTTTGCAGTGGACATATGGCACCAGAATATGCAATGCGAGGCTATTTAACTGATAAAGCAGATGTTTATAGCTTTGGAGTTGTTGCCCTGGAAATTGTTAGTGGGAAGAGCAACAGTAGTTTCCAGCCAAAGCTTTTTCTTGTCGATTGGGTAACTCAACTTTCATTCTTTCCTGCATCATTTGTTCTTTGTTCTTCATTTTGGCTGCATTCACCATTAGAAAGTCTTTGAATAAATCAGACTTCACCATGGACGCTCATATGAAGTTCTACAATAACAATATATTTTACCACTGTTATTTTTTCTTTTACCGTCTTCTAAGGTTCATTATTTAAAAGAAAATGGAAACTTAATGGAGCTAGTTGATTCACGATTGGGCTCCGATTTTAACAAAGAAGAAGTAATGGTGATGATCAATGTGGCTCTCCTATGCACTGATGTCTCTCCGACAGTTAGGCCGACAATGTCTTCAGTTGTAAGCATGCTAGAAGGCAGGGCTGCTGTTCCAGAGTCGGTTGCAGACTCAACTGTCACAACCGATGACGCCAAGTTTGAAGCATTTAGAAACTATTATCAGTCCGGCAGAGACCATACAAAAACCAGTAACCAGAGCCAGAGTATGTCGATGGATGGACCATCAACAGGTTCTTCAACATCTGCAGTTGATCTTTATCCAGTCAATCTGGACTCAGGTTACCTAAATGCTAGAGATTAGACATATGTGCAGATTTTCTTGTTTGTTGCTTGGTTCACAAGCTATCTTCACCTCAAACAAGTTTCATTGTTTACCTTTTTTTTTTTAGTTCCTTTTTTCTACTTATCAGAACTTGAAAATGGTTGAAATCATGTTTATAGAAATCTTAGGAATAGATATATATAATTATGTAATTCTAGAAAATTCCATGAAAAATCCATGTACATGAAATAATTATATGGAAAATTATGGATTGTTCTTTAGATTGTGTAATAATTTTCTTCACTGTAATAATTTGAGAACTTTGAAATAATTAAACGAAGAATTTAATTCATGTGTTGTTTTAATTATTTTATTTTGTTTTAACATGGTTTCCTTTTTTTATTTTTATGTTTATTTTGTTAGCCTTTGACGTAGCATAAGTCAAACTAAAAAATACATCAAAATTAATTGGATTCAAAAACTTAAAATTGTTGTAAGTTGTAATTTCAAGTTTATAAAAAAAAAAAAAAAAAAAAAAAAAAAAAAACTCATAATCAAAAGGATAAATGAAGACTAGAATTAAAATATGAAGATTGGATGTAATAATTAATAAAATAACCCCAAATGATTGGTCGGGTGGTTAAGAAAGTTTCTTTCTTTCGTTGACTTCTTAAGTTCAAACCACTTTGAGGTCATCTATCACATTTGTGGTTTATTAGACTCATTGAATATAGTATTTAATAAATCTCAAGAATTAGTTGAGATGTGTGTAAGCTGACCCGGACACCTTGGTTATCAAAATAATAATAATAATAATATAGGGTGCGTTTGGTTTATTATTTTAGATAGGATTTTAGAGATAGTACTGGATAGTTGGATAGGGTTATGATTACGAGAATATGATTTGTAGAATATGTGTTTGGTAGAGTATTTTGACCTTAATATTTGTGTTGAATATTTGATTAATATATTTTTTTATAAATATTTTATTAATATAATATTTTATTGTGTTTTGTTAAAATAATGTATTATTATATATATAACTTATCAAGTTACATTTTAATAATACTAAATATTTTATTGATAATTTTGTCACCCATATATATTAAAAAACAAAAACTCATATTAATTTCAAGTACTAATCTAACTGTTTAAAAACATCACATTAATACATATATGACAAAAGTACTAATTATCAACTCTTATAATTATTATTACACGTATATTCCATTAACAACTACGACATGGTCTACTGTGCTGTCCACAGTGTATTCGTTCTGTTATCCCGTATAGTCGTCATATTGTCTATAATATCTTATTGTGGTTGACTCGATCCTTCTCTATTTCGCCCATATTCTATCTCATTTTAACGATCACAATATACTTGTTTATTACCAATGAAGAAACGTGAAAGAAGAAATGACGAACCGTGAAAAAGGACTGAAAAAAAACAGGTGAAGGCGTGAAAGAAGAAAAGAGAACGCTTCTGCAGAAAAAATTCAAAAAGGTCAAAATGTTGTCAACAAAATGTCGGAAAAGAGTTTTCAGGATTCTATTATGTAGATAATAAAACAAACATTTTTTCCAAAATCAGACTTAAAATATGGATAAAAATATTTTTCAAACGCAGCCATAATCATTTTTCATATATATTAAACTTAGTTTTCACGAAACTTAAAAATATATCACAAATGAATACAATTTTGAACTCGTTTGGAAACATTTTCAACAATAACATAATCATTTTAACTAATTGTTAACCAACTAATTAATTATTGAATTAAGATTAAATAATTATTGAAAGCAAGAAAAACATAAAAAGAGATGGGAACAAGTTGTTTAATTACAATGACAACTGAATGAACTTATCCAAAAGAGTTAATGACATTTTCATCCCTAAGATTTGGCAATAACTATTAGGTCCCAATAAAATCAGAAGAAGTCACTTTAGTCCATGTTAGACCAGGGCTGGCCGTTACATTCCGTTAAATAATGTAAAGGCATTTTTGTCCTTCTATGCCAATAACCTAATAATGTAGCAGGGTTAGGGAAAGGGTTTGATGGCTTTTTTTCCCAATGTTTATAGTATTTTTAACTTTTTATTATTTTTTTAATTTGTTTAGTGTGTTATAGAATTTTAAGAATTATAGTTAAAAATTTTGGAAGTTATTTGTTTAGAAGAACAAAAATACCCTATATATATATCGCCCTTACTTGCTTTCCAAACCCGAATTCGAAACTAAACTTAATTATTTTTGTCAAACCTCAGGGATGAAAATGTCATTAACTCTATACCAAAAGCAAGAAAAGAAAAGCATTAAAATTACAAAGTGATGTTATAACAACAATAACAATTTATAACAAATTTAAACTTTTTTTTTCTTTTAAAGCTCTTAACCAACTCATCACCAATATTGTGGTTAGTTTAACGGTTTTGTTAAAAAAAAGGGTGTCGTAAAGCTCAACCACAAGAAGTCACCAAAAATTAATAATCACTCTTTCATAATTTTATATATAATAAGTAAACCATCACAAAATATTGATACATAATACGATTCCTCCTCATAAAGTAAATCTCAGGTAACATCTAAATTTATTGTTTATTAGGAGATTATTCATTTGATAAATTGTTTTAGTTTTTTTTTCTTTAAATTGCATTTATAATTTCTTAACATTATTATGTTAAATATATATCGATAAATAAAACGAGAGCTTTGAGTCCGTTTGTAAGATAAAAAACATGTGTAGACAAAACATGGATTGTAATAGAATATCTTGATATTTGGTTATATTTAATTCATAAAAAAATAAGATTAGGAAAAAAAAAAAAAGTAGTCTTTGAAATCTTATTATGAAAAACATGGTTTTTGTTTTTTTTTTTTGTTTTTTGAGATATGTTAAGGAATGAATACAGTGATGAAAATACAAAATTGAACTTTTTATGTTTTTGTTTTAGAAAATAAATTCTTTTTGTTGTTAATCCAGTGTGGTTATGATGGGAATTCCTTTTATAGGATTCCAGTTGTAGGCAATCAGTTTTGGTCCAACTTTTCCCAGACATAACTTATCTCAACTTATTGCTCTCTCCAGTCTCCACCTCTAAAGCTGCTTCCATAACTATTTTTTTTTTTGTTTTTTAAATTTTAAAATATGAAACTTCATAAATTGGCGGTAATAAAAATTGAATGACAAAATTTTTACAATTTTTAATTCAAAAATTTATGTTTAATTTTTTCTATTTTAGTGTTTAATAAATTATTTATAAGTATTGATTAACAAAATCTATATTATAAAAATTATAAACTTTAACAGAAGAAATCAATTATATTTGAAAATTATCAAATGTGATTATCTAAATAGATGGTTCGAGTAAATTTAAGATAATACGGATAGACGCACAATCTTAAATTTTACTCTTTATGGAGTTGTGTTGTTGTATTAGTAAATCCCGGAGGATTAGTGTAAAAAAAATAAAATAAAAATTTTCATATACAGTTGGTATAATTGAATTGGGTTTTTGTTTGTTTATAATCTTAATATGTATTCTTAATAATCTCTTATCGTATGCGTGGCCCTAATAGAACCCAAGAAAACTTCACCTGTCAAAATCTTATCCTGATGTGCATATTTAAGCATGCACCCGCAACTAGCTAATCAAAACTTTTCCGGCCATACCATAGCCCATAAAAACCAAATGGTGCATTAAACCTCGACGCCCCCATGGCTTCAATAAAAACAAAAGCCCAAATGGCGACCACATGACAGATGAACTGTCACCGCTCTCGTATCTCTTTCCTTTTCTATTTCTTCTATTCTTGGAAGGAGACTCAAAATCATTTAACACTTTCAAATTCTCTCCCATTTCCAGCCACTTGCATTTATTACAGTCACTTTATATTCTTTCATTCTTTCTTTGTTTTCATTTGTAGATTCATTTTTTTTGAACAAAACACAAATGAATTTCTCGGCTCCTCTGCTCAGCTCTGTATCTCTTCTTCTTCTTTTTCTTCATGTCGTTCATTTGACGGCCAATGCGAGTGAGTGTAATATGTTCATTGGGAGATGGATTCATGATGAATCCTATCCGCTCTATGATTCGGCCGCGTGTCCCTTCATTGAGCATGAGTTCACTTGCACGAAGAACGGCCGGCCGGATCTCGATTACACCAAATATAGATGGCAACCCCGTGACTGCAATTTAACGAGGTACATGTTTTCTCTGTTTTCACTTATTTTTTAATCTGAATGTTATTTTTTATTAATTCTCAATTATTTTTTTGTTAATCGATTTTATTTTAAATTTAGAGTAATTAATTGCCATTAAGATTAGTTAATTATAATCATAAAGGAGATTAGTTGGAAGATAGAAATTAGGCTCTTCTTACTTGAGTTGGATCGATATGAATTTTTTTTTTTTTTTTTTTTTTTTTTGAAGATGAACACATTAATATAATTGCTCATTATAAGTTAAAAAAAAAAATTTATGAGATTTGATCTGGGAAATTCATTATTAATTAAGTCTAATTTTGGCATCTTTTTGTGGTATAATTTGGATGAATATGTCATCATTTACAAGCAATTATTAGCATATTATGGTAACAAAAAGCCTTTTCATTGTTAAATATTAAAATTAAACCACAAAAATTAGCTAAAATAAAATAAAAAAGTAGTATTCATAAGACAATGAGACATCCCGTGAAGTTGAATTTATGTTGATATTTTTAATAATATATTATTTTTACAAAAAGCGCGTGGCTCGTGAAAGCAAAATGCCTTCTCCAATTATTAGCCGAAGCTGAAATGTTGGACTGAATATCAGCTTGCCATTGGTTGCGTCTTTACCACGCGAATTTAAATCTCGTGGGAAAGTACTCTGGCTTTGGCCTTTTCATAATTCTGTTTTCAGCAATGATTAGATTCTCTTAATTGCCGTCATGTGGAAAAATCAAACAGTAATTTGGTGCCGTCAAGCTCACGGGATCCCCGGTGGGATGTCTTTCCTTTTCACTTCTTTATCAAAAGCCCTTTCGTTTTCTAAATTGCACAAGAAAACTTGCTTGCGTCTTAATTTGGATTTCCATTGACGTGACCTTTGGATAACTTCATTTATTAATCTGGGTTTTCTATAAAAAATTTAATTTTAATTTGGGATTTCAATCCCTTTCTTATTTCTTTTTTAGAATTTTAATAAAAAATTCTTCGATTTTTTCCTGATTTGAGTTTTAGATCACGTCTTTCTTTGTTAGTGCTTTTTATAAGGTATTTATAAAAATATATAACAAAAAATCTGAATTATACATATATGATAATATATGAGTTAATGATATTAATCCCCTCAAGATTTTATTTTATTGAAAATCCTTTTAAAGTTTATGAAATAATAGAAATTCTCTTACTATTTTTGGTGTTAAAAAGAAACTCTAAATATTTATTGACCGGTAACAATATATATTCAAAATTTTCATTATTTCCTAGATCTCAGTAGGTCAGAATAGTCATATGTTTACCTCTTTAGCTTCCATATTAGACTTGAGAATTGAGTAAGCTCAATTTTCAAAAAAAAATTTCTAAATCAAACAAATGATTGTTGAATCAATATCGTAATTCTCCTATGTTTTAGTTTTCCTGTTAGGTAATCTAGTTTTCCAATAGTCAATAGAAGTGGTTGCATTAGGCCGATATCTAGAGCTTAAGATTTTATTAGGAAGCTAGCGTAGGAAAACTTTCAATTGGGGGCTCAAAAAAATTCTGAAAACACGAGGAGGTTTTGGAAATTTTCAGTTTTAGAGATTTTAATAGTATGACAATTTACTTCACCTAACTCTCATTCTTAATTGTTTTTGCACAAGACTGAAATTAGGACCCAAATGACAATTTTTGATAACATAAATTTATGTTTTGTAGATTCAATGGGCTAAGTTTCTTGGAAAAATTTAGAGGAAAAAGCATAATGTTCGTTGGAGATTCTTTAAGTAGAAACCAGTGGCAATCCTTGACTTGCATGCTTCATTCTTCAGTACCCAATGCTCGCTACAATTTATCAAGAGTTGGAGATGTCTCCATTTTCACTTTTACGGTAAAACCCCCTCCAATTTCCCAATTCCTCTTTTACTTTGTTTGTACTATACATGGACACGATGCATGGAATACGCACATACATAAGAGATTTGAAACAGTTTATCTTTAATATTTTTTTTATTAAAGAAAAATTTGTGATTGTTTCGATTTGATTGAATGCAGGATTATAGAGTGAAAGTGATGCTTGATCGCAATGTATATCTTGTAGATACGGTTCAAGAAAAGATAGGAAGAGTCTTGAAACTTGATTCCATTGCAGGAGGAAAGCTTTGGAAACAGATTGATATGCTCATCTTCAATACATGGCATTGGTGGAGCCGTAGAGGACCAACTCAACCGTATGTATTTATTCTCCATATTAGCCTAATAATTAAATTAATTTTTATACATGAAAATAGTATAAATGTTTTGTATTTATGAAATTTCAGATGGGATTTTATCCAAGTAGGAAATGAAATTCTTAAAGACATGGATCGCATGGTTGCTTTTGAGAAGGCTTTAACAACATGGGGACAATGGGTTGATGCTAACATTGATCCTTCCAAGTCTCAGGTCTTCTTCCAAGGAATTTCCCCTTCTCATTACAAGTAAGTTTTTAATCAAACTTAATTCTAGTATAAAAAATTTCAGATCCGAATGTCTTCATTTTTTTTAATTCGGACTAGCATTTCTGACCAGGAAATTTGCCACCTTGGAAAACTTTATGAATCCCCTCTTATTTTGTATTTTTAACAGTAAAGATCTTTTGCTTGTTTTATGATGGTAATCTCATTTCATATTGCCACTAATTGAATTTTCTCTTCTTTTTTTTTTTTTCCCCTCGAACCCCAAATGGCCAGGTGACTTATTGAATATAGAGTACATCAACAAAACAATTAATATATTCTATAATTACAATTTTTTTCTATTTTTTAACTAAAATATTCTATCCATGAAAAGACAAATAGAATGAAGCTAACAATGTTTCCGAATTTTGATGAAAAACAGTGGCACCTTGTGGAATGAACCAAGAGCAAAGAACTGTCTGGGGCAGAAACAACCGCTGCTAGGGTCAACGTATCCCGGCGGTCTGCCACCAGCGGTGGCGGTGCTGAAGGGGGCATTGAGCAAGATTAAGAAGCCTGTAACATTACTGGATATAACCAATCTGTCATTGCTGCGGAAAGATGGGCACCCATCAATCTATGGGCTTGGTGGAAGAACGGGAATGGATTGTAGCCATTGGTGCCTTGAAGGTGTTCCAGATACTTGGAACGAAATTCTTTACAATCTTATTCTTTGAACGATATATAATATTGATTCTATACATTACTTACATTATTAAAAAATAAAGGATCAATTGCTTGATAATAATACTAATAAAGTCTTCTTTTGGAGGAGAATAAATCTCTTTTTTTTTTTTAAATGAATTTCTTACTACTGATTCAAAATATCAATGTTAAATGGGCTTACATCTCTCAATTCATCAAGTAAAATTAACAACATTGTTGTTGCCATTTCTCACACCAACGAAAAGTACACAAATTTTCAAGGAAACTTACGTAAGGGTTTGTGTGGGAGACTGAAAATATGATATTAAACTAATGAGAAAAATAACAATAATGCAAGTAAAAAAAAAAAAAGTCAACAGAATTAATTTTTAAAGTGGTTTGAATGTAAAGTGCAAATCTGATATCCATTGTTATCATATTGTTCTTCTTGTGTATTTTTGGAATAAGAGATGATTTTCTTCTATTCTTGGAAGGAGACTCAAAATCATTTAACACTTTCAAATTCTCTCCCATTTCCAGCCACTTGTATTTATTACAGTCACTTTATATTCTTTCATTCTTTCTTTGTTTTCATTTGTAGATTCATTTTTTTTGAACAAAACACAAATGAATTTCTCGGCTCCTCTGCTCAGCTCTGTTTCTCTTCTTCTTCTTTTTCTTCATGTCGTTCATTTGACGGCCAATGCGAGTGAGTGTAATATGTTCATTGGGAGATGGATTCATGATGAATCCTATCCGCTCTATGATTCGGGCGCGTGTCCCTTCATTGAGCATGAGTTCACTTGCACGAAGAACGGCCGGCCGGATCTCGATTACACCAAATATAGATGGCAACCCCGTGACTGCAATTTAACAAGGTACATGTTTTCTCTGTTTTCACTTATTTTTTAATCTGAATGTTATTTTTTATTAATTCTCAATTATTTTTTTGTTAATCGATTTTATTTTAAATTTAGAGTAATTAATTGCCATTAAGATTAGTTAATTATAATCATAAAGGAGATTAGTTGGAAGATAGAAATTAGGCTCTTCTTACTTGAGTTGGATCGATATGAATTTTTTTTTTTTTTTTTTTTTTTTTTGAAGATGAACACATTAATATAATTGCTCATTATAAGTTAAAAAAAAAAATTTATGAGATTTGATCTGGGAAATTCATTATTAATTAAGTCTAATTTTGGCATCTTTTTGTGGTATAATTTGGATGAATATGTCATCATTTACAAGCAATTATTAGCATATTATGGTAACAAAAAGCCTTTTCATTGTTAAATATTAAAATTAAACCACAAAAATTAGCTAAAATAAAATAAAAAAGTAGTATTCATAAGACAATGAGACATCCCGTGAAGTTGAATTTATGTTGATATTTTTAATAATATATTATTTTTACAAAAAGCGCGTGGCTCGTGAAAGCAAAATGCCTTCTCCAATTATTAGCCGAAGCTGAAATGTTGGACTGAATATCAGCTTGCCATTGGTTGCGTCTTTACCACGCGAATTTAAATCTCGTGGGAAAGTACTCTGGCTTTGGCCTTTTCATAATTCTGTTTTCAGCAATGATTAGATTCTCTTAATTGCCGTCATGTGGAAAAATCAAACAGTAATTTGGTGCCGTCAAGCTCACGGGATCCCCGGTGGGATGTCTTTCCTTTTCACTTCTTTATCAAAAGCCCTTTCGTTTTCTAAATTGCACAAGAAAACTTGCTTGCGTCTTAATTTGGATTTCCATTGACGTGACCTTTGGATAACTTCATTTATTAATCTGGGTTTTCTATAAAAAATTTAATTTTAATTTGGGATTTCAATCCCTTTCTTATTTCTTTTTTAGAATTTTAATAAAAAATTCTTCGATTTTTTCCTGATTTGAGTTTTAGATCACGTCTTTCTTTGTTAGTGCTTTTTATAAGGTATTTATAAAAATATATAACAAAAAATCTGAATTATACATATATGATAATATATGAGTTAATGATATTAATCCCCTCAAGATTTTATTTTATTGAAAATCCTTTTAAAGTTTATGAAATAATAGAAATTCTCTTACTATTTTTGGTGTTAAAAAGAAACTCTAAATATTTATTGACCGGTAACAATATATATTCAAAATTTTCATTATTTCCTAGATCTCAGTAGGTCAGAATAGTCATATGTTTACCTCTTTAGCTTCCATATTAGACTTGAGAATTGAGTAAGCTCAATTTTCAAAAAAAAATTTCTAAATCAAACAAATGATTGTTGAATCAATATCGTAATTCTCCTATGTTTTAGTTTTCCTGTTAGGTAATCTAGTTTTCCAATAGTCAATAGAAGTGGTTGCATTAGGCCGATATCTAGAGCTTAAGATTTTATTAGGAAGCTAGCGTAGGAAAACTTTCAATTGGGGGCTCAAAAAAATTCTGAAAACACGAGGAGGTTTTGGAAATTTTCAGTTTTAGAGATTTTAATAGTATGACAATTTACTTCACCTAACTCTCATTCTTAATTGTTTTTGCACAAGACTGAAATTAGGACCCAAATGACAATTTTTGATAACATAAATTTATGTTTTGTAGATTCAATGGGCTAAGTTTCTTGGAAAAATTTAGAGGAAAAAGCATAATGTTCGTTGGAGATTCTTTAAGTAGAAACCAGTGGCAATCCTTGACTTGCATGCTTCATTCTTCAGTACCCAATGCTCGCTACAATTTATCAAGAGTTGGAGATGTCTCCATTTTCACTTTTACGGTAAAACCCCCTCCAATTTCCCAATTCCTCTTTTACTTTGTTTGTACTATACATGGACACGATGCATGGAATACGCACATACATAAGAGATTTGAAACAGTTTATCTTTAATATTTTTTTTATTAAAGAAAAATTTGTGATTGTTTCGATTTGATTGAATGCAGGATTATAGAGTGAAAGTGATGCTTGATCGCAATGTATATCTTGTAGATACGGTTCAAGAAAAGATAGGAAGAGTCTTGAAACTTGATTCCATTGCAGGAGGAAAGCTTTGGAAACAGATTGATATGCTCATCTTCAATACATGGCATTGGTGGAGCCGTAGAGGACCAACTCAACCGTATGTATTTATTCTCCATATTAGCCTAATAATTAAATTAATTTTTATACATGAAAATAGTATAAATGTTTTGTATTTATGAAATTTCAGATGGGATTTTATCCAAGTAGGAAATGAAATTCTTAAAGACATGGATCGCATGGTTGCTTTTGAGAAGGCTTTAACAACATGGGGACAATGGGTTGATGCTAACATTGATCCTTCCAAGTCTCAGGTCTTCTTCCAAGGAATTTCCCCTTCTCATTACAAGTAAGTTTTTAATCAAACTTAATTCTAGTATAAAAAATTTCAGATCCGAATGTCTTCATTTTTTTTAATTCGGACTAGCATTTCTGACCAGGAAATTTGCCACCTTGGAAAACTTTATGAATCCCCTCTTATTTTGTATTTTTAACAGTAAAGATCTTTTGCTTGTTTTATGATGGTAATCTCATTTCATATTGCCACTAATTGAATTTTCTCTTCTTTTTTTTTTTTTCCCCTCGAACCCCAAATGGCCAGGTGACTTATTGAATATAGAGTACATCAACAAAACAATTAATATATTCTATAATTACAATTTTTTTCTATTTTTTAACTAAAATATTCTATCCATGAAAAGACAAATAGAATGAAGCTAACAATGTTTCCGAATTTTGATGAAAAACAGTGGCACCTTGTGGAATGAACCAAGAGCAAAGAACTGTCTGGGGCAGAAACAACCGCTGCTAGGGTCAACGTATCCCGGCGGTCTGCCACCAGCGGTGGCGGTGCTGAAGGGGGCATTGAGCAAGATTAAGAAGCCTGTAACATTACTGGATATAACCAATCTGTCATTGCTGCGGAAAGATGGGCACCCATCAATCTATGGGCTTGGTGGAAGAACGGGAATGGATTGTAGCCATTGGTGCCTTGAAGGTGTTCCAGATACTTGGAACGAAATTCTTTACAATCTTATTCTTTGAACGATATATAATATTGATTCTATACATTACTTACATTATTAAAAAATAAAGGATCAATTGCTTGATAATAATACTAATAAAGTCTTCTTTTGGAGGAGAATAAATCTCTTTTTTTTTTTTAAATGAATTTCTTACTACTGATTCAAAATATCAATGTTAAATGGGCTTACATCTCTCAATTCATCAAGTAAAATTAACAACATTGTTGTTGCCATTTCTCACACCAACGAAAAGTACACAAATTTTCAAGGAAACTTACGTAAGGGTTTGTGGGAGACTGAAAATATGATATTAAACTAATGAGAAAAATAACAATAATGCAAGTAAAAAAAAAAAAAAGTCAACAGAATTAATTTTTAAAGTGGTTTGAATGTAAGGTGCAAATCTGATATCCATTGTTATCATATTGTTCTTCTTGTGTATTTTTGCATGTGCTATTTGCTCTCAAATTAAATAATTGTTTTTGGCTTTTAGAGAAAAATGAAATTCCGGATTCCCTCTTTTGGGTGAGAGACACTTATTTAAACTGTTGCATAAACGAATTTGCTCACAAAGTAATCATTTTATAGCATGACATGTGGACTGTCAAATCGCCCTTTATGAAGACTTACCGATGAAACAACACTCTCCTAAGGTGACACGCGACTTGGACTACAGCTCAGCCTTAAATCTTATTGTTAAAACAACCTATGACATCCTTACAAATGAAGCAACTCCTTCACTGTATGACATGCGGCCTGGACAGTTGCACAGTCATGGGACACGTGACAAGAATTCATACTCTAGTTGTATAGTCATGGGACACATGGCACAAATTCATGCTTCACAAATTTATCACATAACAAACATATATGGAAACATGTTGTAGATTTAAGAGTACAAAAATATGCAAATTGAGTTCGTAGATAGTCCTTACATGCCAATCCCTGTTGGACCCAAGTGCAGCGGGAACGTGAAAACGGATAATCCTAGTTCATATGACTCAGATTTTGAAACACAGGGGAGTCGCCAGTTTTAGAATAAACTTTAGGAGTCTCAGTACATTTCCCGAATAACAAAATACAGATGGACTTTCCAAATATGAAAATATAGATAGATTTTTTTTAAAGAAATTACCTTAATATTCTCACAATTATTGGAAAATGACAAAAATCTTGATGAGCTGTGACAGTACTATGAATAGAAAGGAAGACTTTGCTTTGAAGGATAAAATGATTGGAGAAATTAGAAAAAAAAAAAAAAAAAAGGTGGATAAGAAATGATTAAAAATTACACTTCAAGTCACTAATAAAAAAGAAAAAAAAAAAATATAAAGTCCAATCAAAACGACATAAACAAGCAAACAAAGCAACAAGTTCCCACTTGAGGAATATTTTAAATACAATTATTGAATCATCGTCTTTGTCTTGAAGCAAACCCACAACCAGAAATCATCAATTCCTTCTCCTATATAACACTTGTGTAATTCTCTTCTCACCACTATTCTTCAAACACCTTATCCCTTTCCCTTTTTCGCAAAATGGGAAATATTGCCTTTCACATTCACATCTTTCTCTTCACTATTTCTTATCTCGTTGTTTTCACTACTTCAAGTCATCATCATNAAAAAAAAATATAAAGTCCAATCAAAACGACATAAACAAGCAAACAAAGCAACAAGTTCCCACTTGAGGAATATTTTAAATACAATTATTGAATCATCGTCTTTGTCTTGAAGCAAACCCACAACCAGAAATCATCAATTCCTTCTCCTATATAACACTTGTGTAATTCTCTTCTCACCACTATTCTTCAAACACCTTATCCCTTTCCCTTTTTCGCAAAATGGGAAATATTGCCTTTCACATTCACATCTTTCTCTTCACTATTTCTTATCTCGTTGTTTTCACTACTTCAAGTCATCATCATCATCATCATCATCATCATCACCAACATTCACATGCTCCTGGTGATTTACAACAGTTGGAAGGCTGTGATTTCTTCCAAGGGAGTTGGGTTTATGATGAGTCTTATCCTCTTTATAGCACTTCCACCTGCCCTTTCATCGACACAGAATTTGATTGCCTCAAAAATGGTCGCCTGGACAAACTCTATCTCAAATATAAATGGAAGCCTACTTCTTGTTCATTGCCGAGGTGCACATAATTTATCATATTTTGATTCATCATGTTACATTAAATTATGGAAATTCTCTGAAATCTTGATATTACTTTTGTCAAACTTTGCTTAAATATTATTGCATTTTCAATGAATCTAATGGTATTTAAACATAATCCTAATTGAATTAATATCATGAAATCCCATTTAAAGAATTACTCATTTATCTTTAATTATGTTATTTAATGTTATTCACCGACACTACCATGTACCATCACATTCACATCCCATTGCGTTTGCCACATAAATTAAAAATATATATTCTGAAGAAGTGGCTCTACTTTTGAGTGGCAGAATAATAATTTGAGACCGTGACAAAAAGAAAACTCCTAACTCTTGATAAATAACTGTGCTGCAGATTCAATGGCCAGGATTTTTTGAGAAGGTATAAAGGGAAGAAAATACTGTTCGTGGGGGACTCTCTCAGCCTGAATCAATGGCAGTCACTCACGTGCATGCTACATGCCTCAGTGCCCCAGTCAAAATTCACAATTAGCAGACAAGATGATCTCTCAACCTTCACTTTGCCGGTATCTTTCTCTATATCATTAGTTAATTTTCAAGACATCTTTATCGTTAACTTATAAAATGCAAAATCGAAAACCAACAACCAAATTACTCACCTTTAATCCGTATATTAAAAACTTCAAGATGTTTGTACCTGAAAATTTCTCTCTCTATAATTTCGAATTTTCTTCAGGTTACCTCTTTGTAAAATAAGTGAACGCAAAATAATATTGGTAAGGCAGTAAATGATTGAGGCCTGGAGTTTATGTCAAAACTTGAAAAAAAAAAAAAAAAATTAAGATTAACCCCATTATGACTCTTATCACTGTTTTCAATAATACGAAATAGGAGAAGTCCTTAATTATGAAATAAATAGACAATAATTGGATACACTTTGCTTTGTTGAAAAAGTTATATGATTATGTTGTTCGTTTGATTAGACGTTGCAATTAAAGTCCTTCAGGAATATTCCACAGTATATACAAAATTTTAATTGGAGAATCGATCTATCAATTTGAATTTTATTTTTTTTTATTTAATTTATGAACTCGATCATGTGATACGTTTGTGTGTTAATGTTGGAATAAATATAAACTTGGAATTTGCAGGATTATGACATTTCTGTGAAGTTAGACCGTAATGCATTTCTAGTCGATATAGTGAAAGAAAAGATAGGGAGAGTTCTGAAGCTTGACTCCATTAAAAATGGCGATGCATGGAAAGGATACGACATGCTCATCTTCAACACTTGGCACTGGTGGCTCCATAAAGGAAGCAAACAACCGTACGTAATAAACATATATTTGAGATTCATTAAGCAAGAAATTGATGATAAATTGCTAAATTTTACAGATGGGACTACATTGAAGAAGGAAATAACATTCAGAAAGATATGGATCGTTTGGTTGCTTTCAGAAAGGGACTCACCACTTGGTCAAAATGGGTTGATTCATCCGTAAATCCTTCCATTACCAAAGTTTTCTTTCAGGGCATTTCTCCTACCCATTACAAGTAAGCCCTTTAATTAATTAATATATTACTAATTACTATCAATAGCTCGATTAATTTTCAATTAATTAAGCACTTGTCGGTTAATTTGGAACAGTGGCCAAGAGTGGAATGAAGGTAAGTCAGCAACCTGCAAGGGCCAAACTCAACCCATTAAAGGTTCAACATATCCGGCAGGTCCACCGCAGGCGGCAGCCATCGTGAAGGAAGTATTGAGCAAAATGTCGACGCCGGTGAGGTTGCTGGACGTAACAACACTCTCCCAATTAAGAAAAGATGGACATCCTTCTGTGTATGGACTCGATGGCAAGAAGGGAAATGACTGTAGCCATTGGTGTCTTGCTGGTGTTCCTGATACTTGGAATGAGATTTTATATGCAATTCTAGTCACTGATGCAAGAAATGAAGCACAAGAAAATTAAAATTCTTTTATCAACTACAAAATCAAGAATAGTGAATTAAACTGTAAGGAAGATCTGAAATTAAGAAATTAGTTCAATGTATTTGTAATTGCAATATCGTTATTGTTATAATACATTAATGAAAATTAATAATTATTAGCTAAACATAGAAAATCTTTCCAAGTCTCTCAAGTCACGTAAAATTCAAAATTTTTTACCCCTTTAGATGTGTGATAATTAGAACAAATACAATTGAAATACAAAGGATATTTGTTTACAACCAATAAATAAAGCACTTACTTNATACGAAATAGGAGAAGTCCTTAATTATGAAATAAATAGACAATAATTGGATACACTTTGCTTTGTTGAAAAAGTTATATGATTATGTTGTTCGTTTGATTAGACGTTGCAATTAAAGTCCTTCAGGAATATTCCACAGTATATACAAAATTTTAATTGGAGAATCGATCTATCAATTTGAATTTTATTTTTTTTTATTTAATTTATGAACTCGATCATGTGATACGTTTGTGTGTTAATGTTGGAATAAATATAAACTTGGAATTTGCAGGATTATGACATTTCTGTGAAGTTAGACCGTAATGCATTTCTAGTCGATATAGTGAAAGAAAAGATAGGGAGAGTTCTGAAGCTTGACTCCATTAAAAATGGCGATGCATGGAAAGGATACGACATGCTCATCTTCAACACTTGGCACTGGTGGCTCCATAAAGGAAGCAAACAACCGTACGTAATAAACATATATTTGAGATTCATTAAGCAAGAAATTGATGATAAATTGCTAAATTTTACAGATGGGACTACATTGAAGAAGGAAATAACATTCAGAAAGATATGGATCGTTTGGTTGCTTTCAGAAAGGGACTCACCACTTGGTCAAAATGGGTTGATTCATCCGTAAATCCTTCCATTACCAAAGTTTTCTTTCAGGGCATTTCTCCTACCCATTACAAGTAAGCCCTTTAATTAATTAATATATTACTAATTACTATCAATAGCTCGATTAATTTTCAATTAATTAAGCACTTGTCGGTTAATTTGGAACAGTGGCCAAGAGTGGAATGAAGGTAAGTCAGCAACCTGCAAGGGCCAAACTCAACCCATTAAAGGTTCAACATATCCGGCAGGTCCACCGCAGGCGGCAGCCATCGTGAAGGAAGTATTGAGCAAAATGTCGACGCCGGTGAGGTTGCTGGACGTAACAACACTCTCCCAATTAAGAAAAGATGGACATCCTTCTGTGTATGGACTCGATGGCAAGAAGGGAAATGACTGTAGCCATTGGTGTCTTGCTGGTGTTCCTGATACTTGGAATGAGATTTTATATGCAATTCTAGTCACTGATGCAAGAAATGAAGCACAAGAAAATTAAAATTCTTTTATCAACTACAAAATCAAGAATAGTGAATTAAACTGTAAGGAAGATCTGAAATTAAGAAATTAGTTCAATGTATTTGTAATTGCAATATCGTTATTGTTATAATACATTAATGAAAATTAATAATTATTAGCTAAACATAGAAAATCTTTCCAAGTCTCTCAAGTCACGTAAAATTCAAAATTTTTTACCCCTTTAGATGTGTGATAATTAGAACAAATACAATTGAAATACAAAGGATATTTGTTTACAACCAATAAATAAAGCACTTACTTTTTCCCCTTTAATTTCTAAATCAAATAAAAGTAATGCTATACTTACAATGACTCATATAACCAGACATATGATAGAGTAATCATTTTAGATTAATTTTATAAAATTTTTGTGTCATTGTATGACTGGTCGTATAGCATTATTCATCAAATAATGGCTCTCTTATATCACTTTTTTCAATCTTTAAGCCCACACCTCCTTACCTACGCACTAATTCTGGTCTATGTTGTCCCATATTGCCTTAGCCTTCTGGCTAACAGCTATATTGCCATCTTCAGAAGAATTCAAAATCACATCACCTTGTCTCTAAAGTTAGATGTGATAAATTTTCATACGGAAATAAAGATTTAATAAACTTATTATTTATCATCTTATAATAATAACCTTTCAACACTAGACAACAAACTTTCCTTAACCCAATTTAATTAATCATAACTCTTCCTCATAGATTTTTGAATTAGCAATAGTGAGATGTGAAATCTAAATATTAAAAAAAAAAAAAAAAATCTATCTATATCTATGTTTCATTTTAATATTTGGAAAGTACTCCATCTTTATTTTGTTATTCAGAAAATTTATTGATACTACTAAAGTTTATTCTAAAACCGGCAACTCTCTACTATAACTACATTTTCCTTATTTGTTTTACTTAGAGGAATTTTTTAGTTTTTATATTTTATTTTCTTTATTTTTCTCATTTCATTTTGAAATATTTCCATACATAAACAATTTTGTTAATCTTAATTCCGAAAATGTTAAGAATTTGTTTAAATGATAGATTTAGCCATAAAATGACATAATTTAACCTAATTACCCTTAATGAAAAATTGCAAGGACAAAAATAGTTAGGATGAGTTAGACTATCAAATCTAACATATTTTAATTAAACTGTTAAACCATATTGTTAAATGCGAGACTCGATCTAGACTATCAAGTCTAACGTTATATATTAATAATATAGCGTTTTATATTAAACTGTCTGAGTTTTTCATTGTTCACACATGAGATCTGTTACATTTCAATCATAAAAGATATAGTAAAATGAGATTCTAAAGAAGTGGCTCTATTTTGAGTGATAGAAATAAGTCTTTGTAAATAATTGTATAGCAGGTTCGACGGCCAAGATTTTCTGAGGAGATTTAGAGGGAAGAAAATACTGTTCGTGGGGGACTCTCTGAGCCTGAATCAATCGCAGTCAATCCCACACTTAAACCTCACACTTGCCGGAAAAGATGGTCCCTATCTGCCTTCGTTTTACGGGTATGTTTCTCTCTAATCTTTGTCAAGTAATAAATTAACTATTTTAACTCATTAATTTATTGAAATTGATTAAGAATACTTTAATGATTTATCAATAAAGTTATATGATTATTTTTACCTTTGATCAGAGTTCGAAAAGTTTTTTTAGAAGATTTACTGGATCCAAAAGTATAATTATTTAATTGTAGAATCGATCTGTCAATTTGACTTCACAAACCTATATATTAAATTATAATTTCACCAGGACATATTAAATTCTAATTTCACTGTAGATTGCCCTTGAACTTGAATATTGATCGATGAGTTAGGTAGCAATTGATCCTTGACCTAATTAGTTTCAAATTGTTAGGACTCGTGTATTTGTTCATGTCCTAGCGACTGCATACATGCTAATGGGAAACAAAATTTGAACGTATTAAAACACTGGAAAAGTCTTCTTATATGCCGATAATAATCTTGGTGTCTGAAAATGTCACCAGTGTATGTACACAATACATCAACGCTATAATGACGATGTCATAAATTTAAAATATTGACATAGCAAACGTTAGTGTATTGTGGTTTCTCTGACCCATTGCGTCGGAGGAATACTACTTGTCATAAAAGTATCGACATCATTATGATGTCGATGTAGTGATTTATTATCCTAACGTCATCAATGTCGAGGCACAAGTTATCCTTCGGTGCATCCTTGATGCATCGAAGGATGGCAAAAGGTGACGGACAATTGTCATCCTTCGAATATGGCTCGAGGGATGGGTTTTCCTCCAACACGTCCCTTAAGTGTCGGAGTAGAGTGATAGGCAATAAACAATTCCCGATGCCATTATTCAACAATAGTTATAGGGAAGGTTTATTGAAATTGAATTCTTTTATCAACTACAAAATTAATCAATAATAGTGAATTAAAGTTATAGGGAAGATTTATTGAAATTGAGAAACTAACTTTGTTTAATTAGTTCAATGTGTTTGTAATTGAATTGTTATTGTTATAATGCATGAATGAGAATTCATTATTAGCTAAACATAGAAAAATTTTCCAAGTCTCAATTCACATAAAATTAAAAAAATTTAAGCGTTTTTAAGTGGAAGAGAGGACAAAGGACATATATTTGTTTACAACCAAGAAAGCACTTATTTTCACCCTTTTATATCTTGCTTTTACAGTCTTTGTTGACAAGTACTGGTCCTACTATTTAGTAGCTAGGGTGGGAATTTATGAAATTTCCCATCAACACAATATGGAGTTTCAAAATTAGGATTATCTTAGTGGATGTATTTTTTTTTAATAACTATGTTCAGACAGTTGATCGCGCACCTCAATTAATCTCTAGAGTTCATTGAATATCCTATAAAAGTAATGGACCAAGTAGGGTAATATGATAGATAAATCACAAATATGGTAAGTGACCATTTTGTATAACTCGAACACGAGACTTCTGGATAACCCATCCAAATGACTAAGTCTTGCTGTCCAGCCACAAGACTAGTGGTTTAATAAATGATTTTGGTCTACAATCAAGTAAACTCATTCAATTGTATAATTGTATTAGGATTTAATCCTTCCAATTCACAAATTATCTGCATATATGGAGGAGGGTTGTATTAGTATTTTTGTTAATATGGTTATATAAAGTATATTTGTTGTAAAGTTGTTATTTATTTCAAAGATTTTATCAATGTTATTAATAATACTTAAATAGAGTATATTTCCGATAATTGGGTTTGTAGACTTAAGTATTAATGTTGAAGCATTATCTAATAACCTAAGTTTTTAAGTTAAGTTGATAATCTATGTTTCACGTGAGTGATAGATTGAACTTAATATCAACAATGGGTCCTAATCTTATAGTTATGTACAATATATAATAGAGAGAGACTTTATCCACTCGGAAATTTTGTTCAACTAATCTAGGTCCTTGCATTTTAAAATACTTTACTCATTTGAATTTAACAAACGTTTACATAAGGATTTTTCTATTTAAAAACCAAACCTCTTATTTTGATATTTTCCCAGTTTTAAAAGCCCAAACTCTACACACGGGCTATCTATCTCACCATAACGTATGTTACAATCAAGGGGTATATGTATCCACAGGACCACAACAAGACTTAGATAGTGGACTCCTAGGGATGTATATATTTAACTCATATGGAATAACATTATGCAATTGTGTTATTGTTCACGTTTTCTAAAAAGGTAAAATTTAATATATTAATAATACATTGAAATTTGTATTATTGTTTTTTTTTCACACAATATACATAAAAATAAGTGAATATTTATTCTCCAAATCTCTTTAACATATATCCTTAAGACAAACATTAAGATGAAACAATCTGAGATAATCAAGCGGGCCACTAATATTAGCTTAATAAAACATTAAAAATAAAAAACTAGTCACTATTTTTTTTTTTTTTTTACCACTAATGGAATCAGTCATTTAAAAACAAATACTGACGTCTACATCAACCACCGACTCATACATAACCTTTTTTCACTATTTTTTAGCCCACACCTCCTTGGCTGCACGCTCAATTATTCTCTATGACTGTCCCATATTGCCTTAGCCCACTGCGTAACAGCTATATATTGCCATCTTCGGATCCATATGTTCCTAAGAATTAATTAAAAAATAAAATAAATAAATAAACATGTAAATATGGTTAATCTCTCATTTTAATAAAGCAATAAACACAAATAACATTTCTATCACTAGACAACAAACTGAATTAAACAACATTAACTCAAAGATATTTCATCACCAAACCAGAAACCTTTCATAACTCCAAAATTATAAAATATCCTTTCCAGGCTCCCCAGATCACATTATTATTATTTTCCCTTTAAAAATAAATAATTCAGAAATCCTGCCAGGATTTCGCTTCCCTTTATATGAACACAACAGTGGTACATTGATGTCTACTTCTCAGTCTTTTCAAAAACACCCCCAGATGGCTGCTTCGCCTGCTTTCTTCTTTCATCTTCTCTGCATTTTCCTGTCGGCCACACTACTCCGGAAAGTTCACGGAAATCATCCACAAACACAACCAGAGATTCAAGTTCAAGAAAGAAACAACTGCAATTTTTTTAAAGGGAGTTGGGTTTATGATGATTCGTATCCGGTTTATGATTCCAGCANAGCTAGGGTGGGAATTTATGAAATTTCCCATCAACACTATATGGAGTTTCAAAATTAGGGTTATCTTAATGGATGCTTTTTTTTTTTTAATAACTATGTTCGAGGCCAGTTCACGCACACTTTAACTAATTTTCAGAGTCCATTGAACACTCTACAAAAGTAATGAGCCAAGTAAGGTAATGTGACAGGTAAGTCACAAATGTGATAGGTGACCATTTTATATAACTCGAATACGAGACTTTTGGATAACCCATCCAAATGACTAAAGTTTTGCTGTCTAGCTACAAGGCTAGTAGTTTAATAGATGATTTTGGTCTACAATCAAGTAAACTCATTCGACCCATTTAATAGAATGCATTTGTAAAACTGTATTAGGATTTAATCCTTCCAATTCACAAATTATTGCATATATGACTCATTTAATATATTACTAAAAGAATTTAAAAAAAAATGGAGGAGGGTTGTATTAGCATTTTTGTTAATATGGTTATATAAAGTATATTTGTTGTACAGTTCTTATTTATTTCAAAGATTTTATTAATGTTATTGGTATTTCTTAAATAGAGTATAATTCCGATAATAGGGTTTGTGGACTTAAATATTAATGTTGAAGCGTTATCTAATAACCTCAGTTTTTAAGTTAAGTGGATAATCTATGTTTCACGTGAATGATAGATTCAACTTAATATCAACAATGGGTCCTAGTCTTATAGTTATGTATAATATATAGTAGAGAGAGACTTTATCCACTCTGAAATTTTGTTCAACTAATCTAGGCCCTTGCATTTTAAAATACTTTACTCGTTTGAATTTAACAAACATTTACATAATCAATTAATCATAAGGATTTTTCTATTTAAAAACCAGAACCTCTTATTTTGATATTTTCCCAGTTTTAAAAGCCCAAACTCCACACATGGGCTATCTATCTCACCATAACGTATGCTACAATCAAGGGATGGGGTATGTATCCACATTGAAATTTGTATTTTTTTTTTCACACTCAAAATAAGTAAATATTTATTCTCCAAATGTCTTTAACATATATCCTTAAGAAAAACATTAAGATGAAACAATCTGAGATAATCAAGCGGGCCACTAATATTAGCTTAATAAAACAGCACTATTTTTTTTTTTTTTACCAAACTAATATCACTAATCGAACCAGTCATTTAAAAACAAATACTGACGTCTACATCAACCACCGACTCATACATCACCTTTTTTCACTATTTTTTAGCCCACACCTCCTTGGCTGCACGCTCAGTTATTCTCTATGACTGTCCCATATTGCCTTAGCCCACTGCGTAACAGCTATATATAGATATATTGCCATATTCGGATCTAGAGATTCCTAAGAATTAATTAAAATAAGCATAAACTGGGATTAAAATAAAATAAATAAATAAATAAACATTTAAATATGGTTAATCTCTAATTTTAATAAAGCAATAAACACAAATAACATTTCTATCACTAGACAACAAACTGAATTAAACAACATTAACTCAAAGATACTTCATCACCAAACCAGAAACCTTTCATAACTCCAAAATTATAAAATATCCTTTCCAGGCTCCCCAGATCACAGTATTATTATTTTCCCTTTAAAAATAAAAAATTCAGAAATCCTGCCAGGATTTCGCTTCCATTTATATGAACACAACAGTGGTACATTGATGTCTACTTCTCAGTCTTTTCAAAAACACCCCCAGATGGCTGCTTCGCCTGCTTTCTTCTTTCATCTTCTCTGCATTTTCCTGTCGGCCACACTACTCCGGAAAGTTCACGGAAATCATCTGCAAACACAACCAGAGATTCAAGTTCAAGAAAGAAACAACTGCAATTTTTTTAAAGGGAGTTGGGTTTATGATGATTCGTATCCGGTTTATGATTCCAGCAACTGTGAGTTTTTGAAAGGTGGATTCGACTGCCAGGGGAATGGCAGACCTGATAAAGATTATCTCAAGTTTAGATGGAAGCCTTCAGGTTGTAAACTTCCCAGGTAATTTTTTTTTTTGGTTCATTTTGTTTTGTGGTTTTCATTTCTTCAGTTTTCATTTTCCTTCTTTCGTTGTGTGTCTGTCATAGTGCCATGTACACAGTAATCTAGAAGCTTGTCATTACTTGGACAGAAGTGTCAGAATTGGGGGGCTAAGTGAATAAAATAACATTTCTTGGATTAAAAATATTTGAGGGTTGGGGATTAATTTTATATGACTAATTCTTTGATTAGTGTTGTGGAAAATGTGCTTCTTAGCTATATGAACATTAAGTTTTACTAATTAAATCAAAGATTATGTGATTCATCAAATATCCCTAAGAGATGATCTAATTATCAAATAAATTAACCTAATAATTATCGTTAACTAAATATTTTTTTGGCAAACTTGTTGAAACTTGAAAGCCCTTTTAATATATTTTTTTTTTTTTTACTCTTAAAATAGATTCTATAGTTTCAAATTCACTTTGAAATCTTTGTTGAAATTATGAAAGAATAATTAAACTAATCAGAATCCAAAATGAATAATGTGTAAATAATATAATACTTACCTCTCCTCTTACGGTATGAAGGCAAACTCTTTTGCCACTAGGATTAACTATATCCCAAGGATCTTGTATTCGATTCGCATGAGAGGTATCTATCATATTTATATTTAGTTTATTGAGTTTGTAGAGTGTGTCGTGATCCTTATGATTAGACAAGCTCCAATATGTGCTTTTAGAGTGTTCCATGATCCTACGGATTCAGTTACCTAAAATAATATAATACTTGACAAAAGAGTAATTTTTTCTCAACTTTGACCGTAGAGAATTTATTAAGTAATAATAGCCAGTAGACGTCACATTCATNTTTCATATATATTAAACTTAGTTTTCACGAAACTTAAAAATATATCACAAATGAATACAATTTTGAACTCGTTTGGAAACATTTTCAACAATAACATAATCATTTTAACTAATTGTTAACCAACTAATTAATTATTGAATTAAGATTAAATAATTATTGAAAGCAAGAAAAACATAAAAAGAGATGGGAACAAGTTGTTTAATTACAATGACAACTGAATGAACTTATCCAAAAGAGTTAATGACATTTTCATCCCTAAGATTTGGCAAAAATAATTAGGTCCCAATAAAATCAGAAGAAGTCACTTTAGTCCATGTTAGACCAGGGCTGGCCGTTACATTCCGTTAAATAATGTAAAGGCATTTTTGTCCTTCTATGCCAATAACCTAATAATGTAGCAGGGTTAGGGAAAGGGTTTGATGGCTTTTTTTCCCAATGTTTATAGTATTTTTAACTTTTTATTATTTTTTTAATTTGTTTAGTGTGTTATAGAATTTTAAGAATTATAGTTAAAAATTTTGGAAGTTATTTGTTTAGAAGAACAAAAATACCCTATATATATATCGCCCTTACTTGCTTACCAAACCCGAATTTGAAACTAAACTTAATTATTTTTGTCAAACCTCAGGGATGAAAATGTCATTAACTCTATACCAAAAGCAAGAAACATTAAAATTATAAAGTGACGTTATAACAACAATAACAATTTATAACAAATTTAAACTTTTTTTTCTTTTAAAGCTCTTAACCAACTCATCACCAATATTGTGGTTAGTTTAACGGTTTTGTTAAAAAAAAGGGTGTCGTAAAGCTCAACCACAAGAAGTCACCAAAAATTAATAATCACTCTTTCATAATTTTGAAAAAAAAAAATTTCTTGTTTTTTATATATAACAAGTAAGCCATCACAAAATATTGATACATAATACAATTCCTCCTCATAAAGTAAATCTCAGGTATGNTTGAAATCTTTGTTGAAATTATGAAAGAATAATTAAACTAATCAGAATCCAAAATGAATAATGTGTAAATAATATAATACTTACCTCTCCTCTTATGGTCTGATGGCAAACCCTTTTGCCATTGGAATTAACTATATCTCGAGGGTTTTGTGTTTGATTCGCATGAGAGATACCTACCATATTTATATTTAGTTCATTGGACTCGTAGAGTATTCTGTAATTCTTAGGATTAGACAAGCTCCAGTATGGGCTTGTAGAGTGTTCTATGACCCTAAGGATTAGATAGACTCCAGTATGGTCAGTTACCTAAAATAATATAGTACTTGACAAAGGAGTAATTTTTTCTCAACTTTGACCATAGAGAATTTATTAAGTAATAATAGCCATTAGACGTCACATGCATAAGCTTACCTACCCAAAATAAATAGTTATTTATGATTAATTAATGGCCTCTTCAATTAGAGAAATATTACATATGATTTGTTGAACAATGTAATGAATTGAATGCATGTGACATTTACTATTTAATTAATTAAAAATTTATAAGCACAAGGTGAAAAGGTGGGTGACAACCATGAAAAATAAGCGGGACCAAAGATCTTGCCTTTGTTTATTTATTATTTATTAATTTGAATCAAACAATTATGTTATAATATATGACAATTTATTGATAGGTTCAATGGGGTGGATTTCATGAAGAAATATAGAGGAAAAAAGATAATGTTTGTGGGAGACTCCCTAAGTAACAATATGTGGCTATCTTTAGCCTGCATGCTTCACTCTGCTTTCCCAAACTCTAACTACACCTTCAATCGAAGAGGCCATCTCACTACATTTTTTCTACAGGTAAACTTTTCATTAATTGTATATATGTGTGTGTGTTAAAAATTTTGAATTTCTATTCTCAGACATCTAGAAATTTTGAATATGTGGATCAATTCGATCGCTGGCTTAACGCTCCTTTGGTTTGCACATTAGAAATTTTAGGACATCCACAGACACTTGAAAATTCTTAGGTGCAAACATCCTAAAAATTTTAATGTGCTAACCAACGCTATTTTGATCCGCATGTTAAAAATTTCAAGATATACCGCATGCTAAAAATTTCAGGACGTCCCCGTACGCATGCACACACATGCATTTTATAATTGTTGGATTCTTATATGTAAAATATCATTTTCAATTAATATAATCACAGTATATGTATACACTCCCTTTTTTTAAATTTTATGTATTTATTTACAGGAATATGGGACCTCAATTATGTGGTTAAAAAATGGGTTCCTGGTGGATGTGGTTGATGAAAAAATTGGGAAAGTATTAAAGCTTGATTCAATTAGCACAGGAAGACTCTGGCTTGGAGTGGATTTGTTGATCTTCAACACCTTTCACTGGTGGGTTCACACCGGCAGCGCTAAAACGTACGATTTTTAATTCTTAAAATTCAAGAAAAAAAAAATTTGAATTATAAATCTAATTAAATTTGGTGTGCAGATGGGACTACTTCCAAGTGGGGAGCAAACTTGTGAAAGAAATGGATCGAATGGAAGCTCTCAAGATTGCATTAACCACTTGGGCTAAATGGATTGATTACAACATTGATTTTTCAAAGACTAAAGTCTTCTTCCAAGGTGTTGCTGCAATTCATGTTGAGTAAGATTCCATCTCGTCTCAACATTTATTTTTTAATTTGAATCAAACAATTATACTGGTTTAGTAATGTTACCAGTTCGATAATGTAGTAGCAGGGAATGGAATGTGCCGAGTACAAGAGGCTGTGATGGGGAAACAGAACCTGTGAAGGGATTGATATATCCAGGTCCGAGTCATCCTGGAGAAGCTGTTGTGAAGAGTGTCATAGGCAGCATGACTCGGCCAGTTTATCTGCTCGACATTACATTGTTAACACAACTGAGAAAAGACGGCCACCCATCTGTTTACGCTGGCAGAGGCAGCACCTTAGATGACTGTAGCCATTGGTGTCTTGCTGGGGTTCCAGATACCTGGAACCAGTTGCTCTATGCGGCTTTGCTTCAGAAGGGATTTTCTTGATTTTGTTAGCGGCACAGTTTCAATTCGGTTTAAAAGAATATAGAACATCACTATACCATTTTCCCATTTCATAAACAGAATATTTGTTGCAAGTGATATTGCATATTCAATTACGATGTTTTAAAACCCAACCCGGGGTGAAACCCAGCAAAGTTGCCAGGTCCCAGGTTGATCAATGGTCAAAACAGTTGACAAAAACTTCTAAAATTCAGCAAATACACCCTTAAAAATTAGTAAAGTCCTTATAGGTTTGAAATTTAGCAAACACACCCCAAATACAAATCGGCCAACAACTGGTTGGTGGCGGCGACACCCTAGATGCAACCCCAATTGTCCCTTGAGCCCATTCCCCTTAAAATATACCCAAGATCTGGCCGAAATAGGTTTGATTTCAGCCAGATCTCACCAACACTGACATCGGCATTTCAGGTCAAATTTCATCGACACCGGCGTCGCCAACCCTCCCCATCACCCAGAAATTACTCCCTTCTTCCTCCCGACCAAAAGCCACCTCACCCCATCCCCGTTAGCCTCGCCAATTGCTGGGAAAAGCTGATTGTCGCAGCTACTAGTTTTGTTCGATTTCCGTTCGATTTACTCACCGGAAATCAACTCCGTCACCACCATTGCATTCACCAGCACTTTCTCTTCAAAAGTCCTAGCATCTCAGCCGTCAATTGTTTGCCGATCATCCTCCTAAATCCTAGGGTTTTGGGTGAATAGGAAAAATATAAACCCAGCCCGTTAAAGCTTTCGAGTCCTGGTTAAATCGGCCAGGCCAAGCCGGGTTTTAAAACATTGATTAATCTTACAAACGATAGCAACATGTGCATTCAAAAATTGCGCTCTCATTACAATTCAACAACAGACATCAGCTGGAGACGAGTAAGATCAATTTCAAAAATCTCTACAAGCGAAATATGAACACTAGTACAATGCTTTTAGATGAAGGAAGCTAAAGCATGAAGTTTGAGATCTGGGACCAAACACATGCACGTATAGCAGTAAAAGAAAAGAAGGGATTGCTCACTGTATCTCAAGCTGGAGTTCTACTTCAAATCTACCGCTGCTTTTGTATTCTCCTGTCCCTTATGGGCAACTCAATTGGCCGTTGCGCCTCATGTGGATGGTCTGGGCCCTTGTAAACTTTTAGGTGGGTGAACAGTTCTCTGCCAAGCTGCATAAAATAGCTCTCATCAGATGCATTGATAATGGCAGAATACATAGCTCATATAACAAAATGAGGATCATGCACTGACTCATAAAATTAACATAAAAATGACTATGGAAAGATGAGAATATGTACTTGGTTACATAAAAAATATTCTTCAACATGACTGCTTCAAAATATAATGCAAATATCATCAATAAAATGTCAATTTCTGGCACTGCATCATTTCATATTATATCTCTTAAAAAACAGAGAAAGTACTCAAGACAGTTGAAGAACAAAAATCCAACAAAAGGGGGAAAAAAGGTACATGGAAAAGCTAACTATAGGAGATCTACTCTTAACCTACTTGAATCAATCAGTTAGCAATAAAGTGATATAGATCATAAACAATTGCTGAATCCTTATCCCTACTACTAGAGAAGACCAGTTAAACCTAGTTTGGCAACATAGCCCTTATCACAGAAGAGCTGCCCGGCAATTTCTTTAGATGCAACATCATTCTAATCTATCATAGCAATCCATACTCAGTCAATGCACACAGCAGAAACTATGTTAAAAACCTTTAAACTAGAATCAGAATGACAAGTATAAAATAAAGTAAACCTAAATTAAAACTAATTCACATTTACTTCTGGTTCAGCAACTCAATCAACCAGTTAGCCACTACAGGATAAACAATCAAGAAACATAAAATTACACACAACCCTTTAACTGAGTAAGAATAAAGAACTCACCCTCCCTTTGGGAAGCATTCCACGAACTGCATGCTCAATAATTCTTTCGGGAATCCTTTGCTGCAGTTGGTCGAATGTTTCCACTTTCATACCACCAGGTCTTCCTGAATGCCTCCTGTAGAGCTTTTGGGTCCTCTTCTTTCCAGATACGGCAACTTTTTCAGCATTCACCTTTTAAGTTCAAGTACAACAAAAACCTTTTGGATACTGCTCAACAACCATATAACAAAAATATGCAAACAAGGAGATATGCCCATTAACGCATTTGTTGAAAAGTCTACAGGGTAGGACAATCGGGTGAAACATCACAAGAAACAATTAAAGAATAGTATTTGATCAACTAGAGAACCACACTTCAACCAAAAAGACTGAAGCAGTGTGAGTTTGCATAAACTGGAAATAAGGTTTCTTAGAACAATAATTATCCAAATTATCATCCAAACCATTTAAGTATTCTATTGTAGAGCCCAACTCAGAATACCCAGCAGCAAAAAGTACGGTCTATGAGAAGTTTCTTGGGCTCCCAACTATGTAAAAATAAGGGTTTCTGTTATTAAAAGGAAGCATTTAGGTGGGTTTTCGCATTTCAACTAAATTCATAATTGACTACATTAGTCATAAAAAGGTATAAGCTAAGAAATTACTGTTTAAACTGTGTTATCTTCATGAAGCATGGACAACTAAATTAAAAGATGATATACAAAGCTACTTGAGGTCGGTGCCAGAACAAAAATACCCAACAATACAAAGCTAATTGAAGTTGGTGATATACAAAGCTTTACAATATTGAACGACACTAAGGAAACCTGTGGAAAATTAAATACAAGCATTGATGCATTCAGCATTTATTACCATAATGAACAAAACTTGTATTGTAACTGTATGAACCACATACCACAATTACATATGCTCCCATGTCCACACTAGGAGTGTAGGTTGGCAGATTCTTCCCACGAATATGGATGGCAATGGTTGATGCAAGCCTTCCAAGAATTTTATCAGTAGCATCAACCACATACCACGTTTTATTTCTATGCAAATGATCAGTGATTTTTGGGTACCATGTATTGTTCCAAATGTCCTACAAAACACGGAACAAGAAGAACCGTAATAAGACAGCAAAGAGAAAATAAAAATCACAAACATATAAAAATGATTTTTAAGATATGTTAAATTTCAGAAAGCACAATCTTGGATCAATATTTTTACAAGACCAAAACTCCAAATTGTAACCCCCACCCCCGTTTTCTTTTCACAAACTACCTTCCCAACACACCAACTCCCCAATAAAATTCAAGAGTAACCCAATGAATTTGAGCTCTTAATTAGTTCCAAAGTGTGCAAAAATATTGCAGATTAACCTAAAGAAGTAGCCACACTACCTCACCGATAAAATCCAGAAATTTTCAGTTAAATGAACACTACTCCACTACAATCCTCCGTTTTAAGTTGAAGTAAACACCATAACATTAGACAAATATCTTCATTATTCTTATGGCTTCAAGAGCTGAAGAAAAATTCAGAAATTTTAAACATTAAACCCAAAAGTTCATTATCTTTTCCACATTGTTCTCTGTAACTAAAGGTACCCACAGCCCAAACACAAAAATCAAAAACCGGGTTTTCATTCATTCAACTTCCCAAAAGAAAAAAAGAAAAAAAAACCACCAAAAAAATTCCACATTACAATTCCATATAGCTTACATTGCTTCCAAGAACTAAACAGAGCTAAATACAAACAATTAATAGAGAAAAAGAGAAAAAGAGAAAGAGAAATTACGGGGCCGTCCACTTCAGACTCCTCAAACATCCATCGTTGATTCTCGGGCACAACCGAGACGTCCTGGCACCTAACCTGAAACGACCGCTTGGTAGTTAAAGGCAACGTCGTTTTGACCGAAGCTTTTAGCTTTGAAACTGAGAAGCCAAGAAATGGACTGGCACTAGAAGGAAAAGACGATTTTGGTGTCGAAGAAGAAGAAGAGAACATAACAGAAGTTGAAGAACAGAGCATCGCCATTTTCGCTCTTAGCTCACTCGACTCCAGTGGTTGTGATATGTCTCTGTTTGACGAATTATGATATATAACCGGATAAGATGGGGTGATTTGTTAACTTTTTATATAATAGTACTAAATGGACAGTTATCATGAATTAAGGTCCATTTTATAATAATATAAATTTAAATCAACATCTCACACCATTCACTTCCATCATGACGTGGCGATTGATGTAGCGGTGCCATTTCATTTGTTACATCAACGAGTTGTCATGCCATGAACCCTAAAATTAAAAAAAAAAAATTACTTGCCAAAAAATTGGAATACAATTTTTCCTGAATGAGAACCCTAAATCAATTTTAATTTCCCTCAAATTTTCTTTCAATTTTTTGAAAATCAGAACCTTAGCATCTCTGATTTTCTTTCTTGTTTGCGGTTTCGTTTTGTTGGTGAGTTTGCATCTGGGATTGTGGAGGGTGGTGACAACTGTGCTAACTGACACATAATCAATAGAGTTCTCGGTAAGTTTTAGTATTCATATTGGATAGCTCAATATTGGTCTTAGTTAAAAATAACACTAGAGATGGGTGTTTATCCCGGGCCCGGCCCCGTGGGGATCCGTCTCGACCCAGCCCGATTGGGGCAGGAAATCCCCGAAAAAATTGGGGATAGGGCCAGGGATGGTCCTTAGAAAAATCCTCATATCCGGGGACGGGTCGAGGGAGGGCATAATACAATCCCCACCTGGCCCGCCTCGCCCCGCTTTTTGAGAATTTTATGTTTCTTTTTTTTTTTTTTTTGTTCCCTTTATGAGATTGTATATGAAATTAGAGTTTAAATCATAGTTTTAAGTAATGTATTTAAATTTATAATATTTACTGTTATAATACTTTCTAATGTTTGTATTAAATTTATAGAAAAATAATTTAAACGAAGGAGTCTAATAATTAAATATATGTATTATTACTTCGTGAATTTCACAAAATAATAATACATGGCCCAAAAATAAATTTGATTAGATTATTACAATTTATAAACCAATATAAGAATATATACAATTGCTTAACGACTTACAAATTACACAAATTCAATTATCCTTGTAATTAATTAATTGATGAATTAAATATGATGTTAAACTTAATCAAATAATGAGATTTGTCCCTTTCACAAATGGACTAATTTTATTAGTTGTAGTGGAGATAGTGTTTTATGAATTAATTCATCAATTTATCTAGTAAATTATGTTAAGATTGAATTTAGTTATATTAATTTTATGAAAAATTAATTAATTAACATGGCTAATTAAACATAAGCCTCCATACAATTGAATAATTCAGCAATTTATGTAATAAATTATGTTAAGATTGAATATAATTACGGTATTAATTCTTGTTAGCGTTGTCGAGTACTCCAGCAATCCAACATTTCAACTTATCCGTTCGAGGGATAAATCCCAACAAAGCTCCGTTCATCAAGTCGGGTTGGGACGGGGATGGGAGTGATTCCATCCCCAATGGGCGGGGATGGTCATGAGAAAAATCCCCGCCCACGGGGATGGGTCGGGGACAGTCATGGGAGTGGGTAATAGGGACAGGGAATGGGGTCCCTGGCCTATGCCCATCCCTAAATAACACGTTAAAATGTTGAGTTCCAAAATTTCAGTACTTGTTATACCAAATTACCATTTTTTAATTTTAAATGATCGATAACTAACCTATAAATATTTATCCCTGATTACCCTAATTTTGCCCAATAAAAAACGACCAATAGCTAATTGATCGATTATTAAGTTCAAGATTTTAGTTAAAAAAAGGGAAATTCAGTCTAACGGGTGCTGAAATTTTAGAATATGTTTGGTTATTTTAGAGACTTTTATAAATAGGTTATTTTTCAATTCACACTTAAAAAAAATGGTTAATTAAAATAATTTTCCAGGGTTCATATAAACTAAACCAAACTTTAAGGGAGCTAAAAGAAATAAAACCGGGTATCTTGAATCCAACCCGAGACGAACTCGGACCTCCGAACCCAAGAATCTGAACCAGTCTCATTTCTCTTCACGCTTGACTCTCACTACTTCTTTAATCCAACAAAATGTCAACGCTACTCTTCGTCAAATTTCCGCCGGTTCCTTCTGTACGGTTCCCGCACTCAAATTCACTCCACAATATCCCCAAATTCAGCCTTTTCAATTGCAAAAACCCTCACTATAATTACAACTTAAATCACACTAAAATGTTGTCAATTCAGAGAGCCAATGCGGTTCCTTCGGTACAGGGAGCGGTATCGGGTGCCATGAACCTGATGCAATCAGCGCCTCCCACGTGGCAGTCTGCTTTGCTCAGTAACATCGTGATCTTCGTCTTGGGCTCTCCAATTCTGCTTTCTGGTTTGTCTCTCTCCGGAATTGCTGCCGCGTTCTTGCTCGGCACTCTTACGTGGCGCGCTTTTGGGCCCTCCGGGTTCCTTCTTGTAGCCACATACTTCGTTATCGTAAGTTTAAACCTACTTATACACTTATATGTTCTACTGTTTTTTAGTATTGTGTGAAGTTAGAATTTTCTGATATATTATTTAATAGCTTTTATTAGTATGCTTTATATCTCTTCGATTTGAAATTGATTCATGAGTAATTTATATATTAAAAAAAAAAAAAAATCCTAGTGTTATAAAAATTAGAATAGTTGTACTATGCCATTGTTTGTAACTTTATACATGTATTGGTATTAGCCCTTCACTGCTGATATACTTTGAAACAATGTCGGTACTAGTTCTCTAAGATGGTTTGTTGTGGAATGATGTGTGGTCAAACACGCGGTAGTAATATCTACGGTTGTTTACATATGTTGTGATAACATAGTGTTGTGTTGGGAGTAAATGGCTTTCCGAAACTTGAAAATGGAAATTTTAAAATTTAGAACACTAGTTGAATGTTTAAATATCTAGAAATTTTGATGGTAATTTATTTGAATTTAGTAAAATGCATCTATTTTGTATTTTCTTCTGATTATAGGTTTGATTGTTAGGGATCCCCATGTTTCTGAGCGTTTTCATGCCTTCTTTGTAATGGGCTGAGTGGCCATTTGATGTCTCTCAGGGTACAGCAGCAACTAAAGTAAAAATGGCCCAAAAGGAAGCTCAAGGGGTCGCTGAAAAGAGGAAAGGAAGAAGAGGACCAGGCAGTGTGATTGGTTCCAGTGCTGCTGGTTGTGTCTGTGCTTTTCTCTCAATATATGGAGTAGGGGGAAAGGCATTTTATCGGCTTTGGCAGGTTGGATTTGTTTCCAGTTTTTGTACTAAGTTGAGTGATACTGTCTCAAGTGAGATAGGGAAGGCATATGGTAAAACAACGTAAGTATAATGCTGCTTGGTTTGAATAACACTCTCTTTAGTTCACTTGATGAAAAAGTGTTTTGGAAATAAATGACAGGCGAACTGACAAGGTTAATTGAATAGGTGTTAACAGTATTGGATTTGCCGAGGAAACTACAGCTAAATCCGTATCAGTTACCAAAAATATGATGAATAAGTTACTAGGTAGCACCAGAATTTCGTTTTAGTTATATATACATACAGAACTACAAGCATACATAAATAGGTACACACCGATATATGGGTCATGTTGTTTTAACTTAAAAATTGTGATCAGTGAGTTGAAAATAAGCTTAGATCCAGATATTCCCAAGAGGATCAACTTTTTAAGCTGTTGCTGAACCCATGACTTAAAAGCATAAGACTTATAATTAAATTATGATGCACTTGACATGCATGCTGCAAAAACAAGATTTCATTTGAGCATAATGCTTTCACAATGTCCCAGCATGAAATTTTAATAGACCAAATTGGTGCCTCATGAACAGGTATCTAGTTACAACATTCAAAGTAGTTCCGCGGGGAACAGAAGGGGCTGTTAGTGTTGAGGGAACAGTTGCTGGACTTTTAGCATCAATTATTCTTGCCTCTGTTGGCTGTTACATGGGACAGGTGATGCTGCTTATCTCATCGCCTTCATGTATAATTTGATACTAAAGTCTGTTTACTCTTCTCTTTTACTGTGACTTTTTCCTCTTTCTTGTTTGGGTTGACTTATCTCCTTTATGAACTTATTTAGTGTAGCTCTTCGAGCTATTTCCTTTACCCCTGATTGTGTGTGTATATATATACATATATATTTAAAATAAATCAGTGGACCACCAAATATATATAAAATGAATAAACCTGGAGGCTAGTTGATGTAGCCATAAAAAGGGAATCGGTTTGTTAATTTTAAGCTTTTCTCATTAAATGTATTTTGATGATTAGATCTAAGTTTGGTTTTCTGGTCTTTGTTTGGTTTTGTCAATTTTGGTTAAGTTTCATTTCTAGTGTTTCCTATTATTTTGATCAGGAGTCTTCTACTAGGATTAGTAAATAAAGTTTATATAAATGCCTAGGTCTAGTGTGTATTTGAATTCTGATTTGAAGAACATTGTGTTGTTTTATTTATAGTTAAGGTATATTTGCCCACTGCTTTATCATCTTCTCTGCTTTATTCCCTGATTAAAACAGATAAATGCACCTGAGGCAGTTGTATGCGTAATAGCTTCCCAGATTGCTAATCTTGGTGAGAGCATAATAGGTGCTGCATTTCAAGAAAAAGAAGGATTTCGTTGGGTAAGCACCCGTTTAATAACTTATCTTATATTTTGCATCCCAGTTATAATGTCATGTTTCCCATCTGTCGCCCTTATGTTGAGATCAACTACATCTCATGAGTCTCTCCTGTTTGGTTGGACGATTTATGTTGGATTGACCATTTGATATCAATAATGCCATTGACCTGTCTGAACCTTAGATTACTTTGGTGTTCTGTGGGTTTGTGTGTTAAACTTTTGCAGGTGTTTTCTGGTTAGGTTCCAGACCATTGATTGTCTAAAGAATGTTTTATGCCTTTCAAACCAGACAAGACTTGTGCTACAGATTTTTGGTAGCCTGGCGGTGGAAAAGTATGATAATGATATGCTGGCTTTATAGAACCAATAACTTTGAGACATGCTGAGTCAGAATCAATATGTGAAGAAAAGAATCTGAAAATTTTACTATTCAACCATAGGCAAAACTTAATGGAGTTATATATTCGATGGCAAGATACCTTTTTTTTTTCAGTTATAGTTTACATTCTCGTCTCCCTCTGTGTGTGTGTTTGTGTGCATGCCTTTCTATGGACTGATCTTTTTATTGAAGGTTGGAACTTGGGATCACTAGCTGTTTCATTAGCTTGTCTGGTTGGTGTTTCATATTCACGAGCTCTGTTTCTTACTTGATACACCCTCTGTTTTCTGCAGCTCAATAATGATGCTGTGAATGTCATCAACATATCAATGGGCAGCATTTTAGCGGTACTGATTCAGCAATTTGTTCTCCAAAACTGGCGTACATGATTTCATGCAGTCACTGGGAAGCATGTGTCACACCACTGTGCCCTTCAATGCTAAAATTGAAAAGGTCATATTCATTCTCATACAAATGAAATATACCTGAACACTTACTGCTACTTTCTGATGTGGCTTTCTTACATATTTTTCTATAACAAAGAAAACATAAGAATTTTTCTGTTACATTCAAACAAAGATCCCCACAAGTTTAGCAAACAACAAGGGATTTGAAACAGGTTGGAGACATAATTGTTTTGTAGATGTAAATTGTGATTTTTTTGTTCTTTTAACTTATCAACAACCAAGGGAATATATTTTGACATTTTTAAATTAATATTGGGATGATATCATCGATTCATCCCTTGTATAGTTTGTAAGATCCATTACTTTATGTATTTCCTTGGTAGATTTGGTGATTAAATGTCATTTTTACTCTTGACTGAAACTTAGTAACTGAGAATGCTTTGGTTATTCTATATAAATAAATTGGGATAATTTCATAGGGGCAGGATGGAGTATCCACTCTAAGCAATGGTTTCTTCTTGCCGCCCTATTTTTCCATTTCTATATCTTTTTTTATATTCAAAAATAGATTAAATTTAAAAAGTCAACGATTATATATATAATTAGAGCAAATCTATACATAATAATCTATTCAATGATATTAATATACATATGGCTAGGGCTCATGGCAGCATATTCTTACAAAAAGTGTTATATTATTTTTAGATTATTAAAATTAAAAATATTTTTAATTGTCAGGATTTAATTTATAGCATGTTATTTTTTAAGATGTCTTTGTTATATTTTGGATTTAATTTTAATCATCAAAGAGAGAGAGAGAGAGAGAGAGAGAGAGAGAGAGAGAGAAGCTTCAATATGTATGTAAAAACTTACTGATTATTTACATTTAAAACTCATTTGCAAGAATTTCATTTTAAGCGTGATTCTGCATGTCTGTCTAGGCAGAAAGCTTCACTCACCAATGCTAGCTTCTCTGGAGATCTTGATGAGCAATTTGAAGTTATTGGTTCTTGATTTCGGATTGAAATTAAGTGTAATATTTTCCATGTACTAGTTCTCTAAGATGGTTTGTTGTGGAATGATGTGTGGTCAAACACGCGGTAGTAATACCTACGGTTGTTAACATATGTTGTGATAACATAGTGTTGTGTTGGGAGTAAATGGCTTTCCGAAACTTGAAAATGGAAATTTTAAAATTTAGAACACTAGTTGAATGTTAAATATCTAGAAATTTTGATGGTAATTTATTGAATTAAGTAAAATGCATCTATTTTGTATTTTCTCTGATTATAGGTTTGATTGTTAGGGATCCCCGTGTTTCTGAGCGTTTTCATGCCTTCTTGTAATGGGCTGAGTGGCCATTTGATGTCTCTCAGGGTACAGCAGCAACTAAAGTAAAAATGGCTCAAAAGAAGCTCAAGGGGTCGTGAAAAGAGGAAAGGAAGAAGAGGACCAGGCAGTGTGATTGGTTCCAGTGCTGCTGGTTGTGTCTGTGCTTTTCTCTCAATATATGAGTAGGGGGAAAGGCATTTTATCGGCTTTGGCAGCTGATTTGTTTCCAGTTTTTGTACTAAGTTGAGTGATACTGTCTCAAGTGAGATAGGGAAGGCATATGGAAAACAACGTAAGTATAATGCTGCTGGTTTGAATAACACTCTCTTTAGTTCACTTGATGAAAAAGTGTTTTGGAAATAAATGACAGGCGAACTGACAAGGTTATGAATAGTGGTTAACAGTATTGGATTTGCCGAGGAAACTACAGCTAAATCCGTATCAGTTACCAAAAATATGATGAATAAGTTACTAGGTAGCACCAGAATTTCGTTTTAGTATATATACATACAGAACTACAAGCATACATAAATAGGTACACACCGATATATGGTCATGTTGTTTTAACTAAAAATTGTGATCAGTGAGTTGAAAATAAGCTTAGATCCAGATATCCCAAGAGGATCAACTTTTAAGCTGTTGCTGAACCCATGACTTAAAAGCATAAGACTTATAATTAAATTATGATGCACTTGACATGCATGCTGCAAAAACAAGATTTCATTTGAGCATAATGCTTTCACAATGTCCCAGCATGAAATTTAATAGACCAAATTGGTGCCTCATGAACAGGTATCTAGTTACAACATTCAAAGTAGTTCCGCGGGAACAGAAGGGGCTGTTAGTGTTGAGGGAACAGTTGCTGGACTTTAGCATCAATTATTCTTGCCTCTGTTGCTGTACATGGGACAGGTGTTCACTTCCATCATGACGTGGCGATTGATGTAGCGGTGAGATCGGTGCCATCTCATTTGTTACATCAACGAATTGTCATGCCATGAACCCTAAAATTAAAAAAAAAAAATTACTTGCCAAAAAATTGGAATACAATTTTTCCTGAATGAGAACCCTAAATCAATTTTAATTTCCCTCAAATTTTCTTTCAATCTTGAAAACCCTATCCACCTTCTCAAATTTTCTTTCAATTTTTTGAAAATCAAAACCTTAGCATCTCTGATTTTCTTTCATGTTTGCGGTTTCGTTTTGTTGGTGAGTTTGCATCTGGGTTTGTGGAGGGTGGTGACAAATGTGTTATCTGATACATAATCAATAGAGTTCTTAGTTTCAACGATAAGTTTCATTATTCATATTGGATAGCTCAATATTGGTCTCAATTAAAAATAACACTAGAGATGGGCGTTTGCCTCAGCCCCGTAGGGATTTGCCCCAACGCAGCCCGAATGGGGCAGGGAATCCCCGAAAAAATCAGGGATAGGGCCAGGGATGGTCCTTAGAAAAAATCTCGCATCAGGGGACAGGTCGAGGGAGGACATAGTACAATCCCGTTAGAGTTTAAATCATGGTTTTAAGTAATGTATCTAAATATATGATATTTGCTTTTATAATACTTTTTAATGTTTGTATTAAATTTATAGAAAAATAATTTAAACGAGGGAGTCTAATAATTAAATATATGTATTATTACTTCGTAAATTTCATAAAATAATAATACATGGCCCAAAAATAAATTTGATTAAATTATTACAATTTACAACCCAATATAAGAATATATACAATTGCTTAACGACTTACAAATTACATAAATTCAATTATCCTTGTAATTAATTAATTGACCAATTAAATATGATGTTATGGGATTTGTCCCTTTCACAAATAGACTAATTTTATTAGTTGTAGTGGAGATAGTGTTTTATGAATTAATTCATCAATTTACCCAGTAAATTATGTTAAGATTGAATTTAGTTATATTAATTTTATGAAAAATTAATTAATTAACATGGCTAACTAAACATAAGCCTCTATACAATTGAATAATTAAGTAATTTACCTAATAAATTATGTTAAGATTGAATATAATTACCGTATTAATTCTTGTTGGAGTTGTCGAGTACTCTAGCAATCTAACATTTTAACTTATCCGTTCAGGGGATAAATCCCCGCGGGGGGAATTCCCTGCAAAGCCCTATTCATCAGGCCGGGTCGAGACGGGGATGGTCATGAGAAAAATCCCCGCCCACGGGGATGGGCCGGGGACGGTCATGGGAGTGGGTAACAGGGATAGGGAATGGGGTCCCCAGCCCGCGCCCATCCCTAAATAACATGTTAAAATGTTGAGTTCCAAAATTTTAGTACTTGTTATACCAAATTACCATTTTTTAATTTTAAATGATCGATAACTAACCTATAAATATTTATCCCTGATTACCCTAATTTTGCCCAATAAAAAACGACCAATAGCTAATTGATTGATCATTAAGTTCGAGATTTTAGTTAAAAAAAGGGAAATTCAGTCTAACGGGTGCTGAAATTTTAGAATATGTTTGGTTATTTTAGAGACTTTTATAAATAGGTTATTTTTCAATTCACACTTAAAAAAAAAATGGTTAATTAAAATGATTTTCCAGGGTTCAAATAAACTAAACCAAACTTCAAGGGAGCTAAAAGAAATAAAACCGGGTATCTTTAAACCAACCCGAGACGAACTCGGACCTCCGAACCCAAGAATCTGAACCAGTCTCATTTCTCTTCACGCTTGACTCTCACTACTTCTTTAATCCAACAAAAATGTCAACGCTACTCTTCGTCAAATTTCCGCCGGTTCCTTCTGTACGGTTCCCGCACTCAAATTCACTCCACAATATCCCCAAATTCAGCCTTTTCAATTGCAAAAACCCTAACTATAATTACAACTTAAATCACACTAAAATGTTGTCAATTCAGAGAGCCAATGCGGTTCCTTCGGTACAGGGAGCGGTATCGGGTGCCATGAACCTGATGCAATCAGCGCCTCCCACGTGGCAGTCTGCTTTGCTCAGTAACATCGTGATCTTCGTCTTGGGCTCTCCGATTCTGCTTTCTGGTTTGTCTCTCTCCGGAATTGCTGCCGCGTTCTTGCTCGGCACTCTTACGTGGCGCGCTTTTGGGCCCTCCGGGTTCCTTCTTGTAGCTACATACTTCGTTATCGTAAGTTTAAACCTACTTATACACTTATATGTTCTACTGTTTTTTAGTATTGTGTGAAGTTAGAATTTTCTGATATATTATTTAATAGCTTTTATTAGTATGCTTTATATCTCTTCGATTTGAAATTGATTCATGAGTAATTTATATATTAAAAAAAAAAAAAAATCCTAGTGTTATAAAAATTAGAATAGTTGTACTATGCCATTGTTTGTAACTTTATACATGTATTGGTATTAGCCCTTCACTGCTGATATACTTTGAAACAATGTCGGTACTAGTTCTCTAAGATGGTTTGTTGTGGAATGATGTGTGGTCAAACACGCGGTAGTAATATCTACGGTTGTTTACATATGTTGTGATAACATAGTGTTGTGTTGGGAGTAAATGGCTTTCCGAAACTTGAAAATGGAAATTTTAAAATTTAGAACACTAGTTGAATGTTTAAATATCTAGAAATTTTGATGGTAATTTATTTGAATTTAGTAAAATGCATCTATTTTGTATTTTCTTCTGATTATAGGTTTGATTGTTAGGGATCCCCATGTTTCTGAGCGTTTTCATGCCTTCTTTGTAATGGGCTGAGTGGCCATTTGATGTCTCTCAGGGTACAGCAGCAACAAAAGTAAAAATGGCCCAAAAGGAAGCTCAAGGGGTCGCTGAAAAGAGGAAAGGAAGAAGAGGACCAGGCAGTGTGATTGGTTCCAGTGCTGCTGGTTGTGTCTGTGCTTTTCTCTCAATATATGGAGTAGGGGGAAAGGCATTTTATCGGCTTTGGCAGCTCGGATTTGTTTCCAGTTTTTGTACTAAGTTGAGTGATACTGTCTCAAGTGAGATAGGGAAGGCATATGGCAAAACAACGTAAGTATAATGCTGCTTGGTTTGAATAACACTCTCTTTAGTTCACTTGATGAAAAAGTGTTTTGGAAATAAATGACAGGCGAGGGGATTGAAACTGACAAGGTTAATTGAATAGGTGTTAACAGTATTGGATGTGCCGAGGAAACTACAGCTAAATCCGTATCAGTTACCAAAAATATGATGAATAAGTTACTAGGTAGCACCAGAATTTCGTTTTAGTTATATATACATACAGAACTACAAGCATACATAAATAGGTACACACCGATATATGGGTCATGTTGTTTTAACTTAAAAATTGTGATCAGTGAGTTGAAAATAAGCTTAGATCCAGATATTCCCAAGAGGATCAACTTTTTAAGCTGTTGCTGAACCCATGACTTAAAAGCATAAGACTTATAATTAAATTATGATGCACTTGACATGCATGCTGCAAAAACAAGATTTCGTTTGAGCATAATGCTTTCACAATGTCCCAACATGAAATTTTAATAGACCAAATTGGTGCCTCATGAACAGGTATCTAGTTACAACATTCAAAGTAGTTCCTCGGGGAACAGAAGGGGCTGTTAGTGTTGAGGGAACAGTTGCTGGACTTTTAGCATCAATTATTCTTGCCTCTGTTGGCTGTTACATGGGACAGGTGATGCTGCTTATCTCATCGCTTCATGTATAATTTGATACTAAAGTCGGTTTACTCTTCTCTTTTACAGTGGCTTTTTCCTCTTTCTTGTTTGGGTTGACTTATCTCCTTTATGAACTTATTTAGTGTAGCTCTTCGAGCTATTTCCTTTACCCCTGATTGTGTGTATATATATACATATATATTTAAAATAAATCAGTGGACCACCAAATATATATAAAATGAATAAACCTGGAGGCTAGTTGATGTAGCCATGAAAAGGGAATCGGTTTGTTAATTTTAAGCTTTTCTCATTAAATGTATTTTGATGATTAGGTCTAAGTTTGGTTTTCTGGTCTTTGTTTGGTTTTGTCAATTTTGGTTAAGTTTCATTTCTAGTGTTTCCTATTATTTTGATCAGGAGTCTTCTAGTAGGATTAGTAAATAAAGTTTATATAAATGCCTAGGTCTAGTGTGTATGTGAATTCTGATTTGAAGAACATTGTGTTGTTTTATTTATAGTTAAGGTATATTTGCCCACTGCTTTATCATCTTCTCTCCTTTATTCCCTGATTAAAACAGATAAATGCACCTGAGGCAGTTGTATGTGTAATAGCTTCCCAGATTGCTAATCTTGGTGAGAGCATAATAGGTGCTGCATTTCAAGAAAAAGAAGGATTTCGTTGGGTAAGCACCCGTTTAATAACTTCTCTTATATTTTGCATCCCAGTTATAATGTCATGTTTCCCATCTGTCGCCCTTATGTTGAGCTCAACTACATCTCATGAGTCTCTCCTGTTTGGTTGGACTATTTATGTTGGATTGACCATTTGATATCAATAATGCCATTGACCTGTCTGAACCTTAGATTACTTTGGCGTTCTGTGGGGTTTGTGTGTTAAACTTTTGCAGGTGTTTTCTGGTTAGGTTCCAGACCATTGATTGTCTAAAGAATGTTTTATGCCTTTCAAACCATACAATACTTGTGCTACAGATTTTTGGTAGCCTGGCTGTGGAAAAGTATGATAATGATATGCTGGCTTTGTAGAACCAATAACTTTGAGACATGCTGAGTCAGAATCAATATGTGAAGAAAAGAATCTGAAAATTTTATTATTCAACCATAGGCAAAACTTAATGGAGTTATATATTCGATGGCAAGATACCTTTTTTTTTCAGTTATAGTTTACATTCTCTTCTCCCTCTGTGTGTGTGTTTGTGTGCATGCCTTTCTATGGACTGATCTTTTTATTGAAGGTTGGAACTTGGGATCACTAGCTGTTTCATTAGCTTGTCTGGTTGGTGTTTCATATTCACGAGCTCTGTTTCTTACTTGATACATCCTCTGTTTTCTGCAGCTCAATAATGATGCTGTGAATGTCATCAACATATCAATGGGCAGCATTTTAGCGGTACTGATTCAGCAATTTGTTCTCCAAAACTGGCGTACATGATTTCATGCAGTCACTGGGAAGCATGTGTCACACCACTGTGCCCTTCAATGCTAAAATTGAAAAGGTCATATTCATACTCATACAAATGAAATATACCTGAACACTTACTGCTACTTTCTGATGTGGCTTTCTTACATATTTTTCTATAACAAAGAAAACATAAGAATTTTTCTGTTACATTCAAACAAAGATCCCCACAAGTTTAGCAAACAACAAGGGATTTGAAACAGGTTGGAGACATAATTGTTTTGTAGATGTAAATTGTGATTTTTTTGTTCTTTTAACTTATCAACAACCAAGGGAATATATTTTGACATTTTTAAATTAATATTGGGATGATATCATCGATTCATCCCTTGTATAGTTTGTAAGATCCATTACTTTATGTATTTCCTTGGTAGATTTGGTGATTAAATGTCATTTTTACTCTTGACTGAAACTTAGTAACTGAGAATGCTTTGGTTATTCTATATAAATAAATTGGGATAATTTCATAGGGGCAGGATGGAGTATCCACTCTAAGCAATGGTTTCTTCTTGCCGCCCTATTTTTCCATTTCTATATCTTTTTTTATATTCAAAAATAGATTAAATTTAAAAAGTCAACGATTATATATATAATTAGAGCAAATCTATACATAATAATCTATTCAATGATATTAATATACATATGGCTAGGGCTCATGGCAGCATATTCTTACAAAAAGTGTTATATTATTTTTAGATTATTAAAATTAAAAATATTTTTAATTGTCAGGATTTAATTTATAGCATGTTATTTTTTAAGATGTCTTTGTTATATTTTGGATTTAATTTTAATCATCAAAGAGAGAGAGAGAGAGAGAGAGAGAGAGAGAGAGAGAGAAGCTTCAATATGTATGTAAAAACTTACTGATTATTTACATTTAAAACTCATTTGCAAGAATTTCATTTTAAGCGTGATTCTGCATGTCTGTCTAGGCAGAAAGCTTCACTCACCAATGCTAGCTTCTCTGGAGATCTTGATGAGCAATTTGAAGTTATTGGTTCTTGATTTCGGATTGAAATTAAGTGTAATATTTTCCATGGTATAGCATTGTATTATTGGTAAATGAATGGGAAGCTTTAGTTTGGAAATATGAGCAGATACCTCATTGATTATTTACATCTAAAACCTATTTGTAAGAGTTCTATTTTATTGTGAATTTGCAAACGCAATGTAGGAGGTGAGCTTCACTTAATTTTGCTAGTTTCCCTCAAGATTTTGGTTTGAAATTGATTGATTACTAATTTAGGATTTTCGTTTGTATTGAGTATATAAGAGCTCATTGATAATTTACCATTAAAACTTGTTTTCAATTTAGCATGACACAGCGCACACAATGTGAGCAGTGAGCTTCACTTACCATAACTTTAATTGGAACATAAGAGCACATTTATTGTTTACATCTCGAACTTGTCTGCGAGAGTTCCATTCAAGTCTGATTTTTCTTGCTTGAATGTCACTAACTTCCTAAGTTGGCTTGGAACTCATTGATGACTAATTTAGGATTGTTCATTTAGAGAATTATGTAAGAGCTCACTGATTATTTACAATTACTATAACTAATCTGTGAGGGTATGAAATTAGCGTATTATCGCATGTGCACAGTAGGCATTGAACTTCGCTCACTGTATTTGGGCATGATTCTGCTTGCACGGCATGTGTGATGAGCTTCGCTTAGTGTTGCTAGTTTTACTCAAAGATCTTTGTTTGAAACTTACTGATTAGACTAATTTAGGATTGTCATTTAGATGGATGTATAACAGTTTACTTATTATTTACCACGAAAATTAATCTGTAAGCGTTTCAATTGCACTAAGCTTCACCACCCATTGTAGCTTTAATAGGAATATAAGAGCTTTGATTATCAGTTGCAAGTTTCCCTCTATGTTGCTAGTTTCTTGAAAGATCTATGTCAGCAATTTGGAACTTCCTCAAGATTTTTGTGAACAATTGGAACTCTTTGATTATTAAATTGCTATTTTGCTTTAGTTGATGTTATAAATGCAGTAATCTTGTGTTATTTCAAGTAAAATTGAGAAGCTTTTAAGTGAAATTAATAGCTCATTGATTGTTTACATTTAAAACTTACCCGTAAAAGCTGCATTTGAGCCTCTAAATACAGGAGATTAATCTAACGATTATTTACTATCTTCCAAAGTAAAACAGAAGCAGCCAATTTAGATGATTGTGTATGCACCTTGTTTTCAACGCCCAGGACCCAGAATTCCCGCCTTTATAACAATCACTCCAGACTTTAACCATCTTCTCCTGTTTCTTCTCCTTTGCTTCACCTGAAAACATGTCTTCGTCATCTTCTTCTTCCTCTTCTTTACATGAAATCATTCTCACCAGCTCGCCAGAAGGCCCTATCTCAGCCTATAACCCCTCCTCAGGTGCCACTCTTGCTCATTTTTCCGGCAGCCGGTCCCCCCGGCAAGGCCTTGCCTTCGCCGGAAAGACCTTCATTGTTGCCTCTCATATCTCCCCAACAACGGCTTCAGGATCAATTCACTTATACAATTGGTGGTCTTCAACTCCCTTGCATAATCTCCCTCTTCCTGAACCTGTTGCTCCTGTAATATCCACTCCTGATGGCTTGTACTTGTTCACCGGTGGCGTTTCAGGCTCCATCTATGTCATTTCTCTCCCTTCAGGAGACATTCTTAGATCATTTTCTGCCCATAAGAAACCTGTAACTTGCCTGGAAAGCAGCATCGATGGATCCCTTTTGATCTCTGGTGGCGACGACGGAAGAATCATCACAGTACCAATCTTCCAACTTGTCGATCACCACACCTCAGGTGATAACAATCCAAATGACTTGATGTTGCAGAAATTTATAGCGCATAATGGTTCAGTCACAGCCATTGTTTCTTGTATGGGATCATTCAAATCTCTGATGGTTTCATCTTCAACAGACTGCACATGCAAGCTATGGAGACTGGATGGAACCCATTTGCACAATTTGACGTTTCCTTGTGCAATCATGGGGGTGACACTAGATCCAACAGAGACAGAATTCTACGCCGCGGGATCTGATGGTTTGATTTACAGAGGATCGCTCAAGTTCGAAAGCAAAAAACATATAATCCAGGACAATGAATTGGCGACATTGGTGCAAAAACACGAAGGGATGGTGGTATCAGTCGCAATGGTGAACGAAGGAAAGAATCTGGTATCAGCTTCGGAAGATGGAAGTGTTTATATATGGGAAGTCGAGTCAGGAGAAGTCATATTTGTGCTAGGAAATGAAATGGGGAGCATCAGTGAGATGTTGGTGGCTTCTGGAATTGGTGAGAGTAAAGGGTGTGGAATTGAAGGTGGGAAAGGTAGAAATAATGAAAAAGGGGGTGGGGTTTTTGAGGTTTATGGTGAAGAGTTGTTGAGAAGATCAATGAAGGAAAGTGTGGATTTGGAAGAAGTGTTGAGGGTGGCTGCTAAGAACAGAAGCAAAGCCATTGACATGCTTGAGTCTGCAATTGCAATGTATGAAAAGCTATTGGAACTCATTCTCAAAGAAGCCATGAGAGGCTCCACCATCACTAATCTCAAAAACAAAGATGAAATTTAAACATCTTAAAAGAAAATGAATGAAATGAACCATTGATAGTTCATATATCATTTTTTCTATGTTTCTCAGATGGGTTTACTTCATTTGAATAAATCGATATTATTTTCAACCATGAGGTTTGAGTTAAGTTTATCTCTAATTTGAGTTAAATTTATTTCTAATTTAAAATTACCCAGTTACATTAAAACACATCAATTGTTTGTATGAGCGACTTTGTATGAGAAGTTTGTACATGTAATAATATTCTTTTTCTTTCTTATCATTCTCAAATAGAGGTGTCAAATGGGCTTACTGTTTTTTTATTTGGGCCAATGGGTTTAATATTTTGAGGCTGGTTCGCCTGACAAAACACACTAATTGGGCCTACATGTAAGGCCCAGTCCAGCTTTATAGTGATTAGTGAGAATTGTCTACATTAATAATAACGTAAGAGAATCTGATTGAAATTATTCTAGGTAATTTGGTGATTCATTTGGGACTCTTGAGTGTATTACTTATTACTTAAGATATTTTGAGTTCGAATCTCCACGACTACTAATAAGGGGTAGCTACTGGAGGCTTATTTGGTTGTTAACTTCAAAGCTCCGGGAGACTAATCAAGGTGCACACAAGCTAGCCCGGACACCCTTGGATACCCAAAAAACAAAACAAAAAAAAAAGGAATTGTAACTATTACATCAATCTAAAATAATCAATAAGAAAATATATAGAATTCAATTGAAATTATGTATAATCGTTGTTTCCACTCTTTCAAAACCAAATATCATCACGGGATTTGAGGAAATTTGAAATAATAAGTGACATTGACATATAAAAAAAAAAATGTAAGAGCATACTTGAGGGCACAAATGTAATATTAAATCTATTTGTTGATACGAAAATTCGCACCAACATAAGAGATCCGATTCCACCAAAGTCAATCGGATCTCTCGAGTGAGTTAACGAGTTTTCCGTATATATCTTATGAGCTCCGAAACTCCTTCCGGATCAAAAGTTATGGCTGTTTTAAGTTAGCTTGTCTGTTTAGGACCTCTGAGCCATGCATTTGGGCTTCTAACGCTCTGCTCCCTCTAAAAATTCATCTACTAGACATTTTATGTCAGCTATCATATGTGATCAGCTTCGGATCGCTCTTAGCTCTTAGATCGCAGTTTTAGCTCTCAGAACCCGATCACGCCAAACATAATTTGAGCTCTTTAGTTCAAGACTGCAGCCTATAACGCGACAACAATTCAAATTAAAGACATGAATTTTTTAAGTCTGAACTTGCACTTCAAAAGCTATGGGGCTATTGTTGTGCGGAAAATCCGGAGAGAATAATTCCCTATTAGGAGAGAAGATATTTAGATTAACTCAATTAAGAAGGAAGATATTCAGATTGACTTAGATTATAACTAAGATAGTCAAGATCATGTAACTTCCTAATCCTATGTATTTGGATTTTACCTCAACTTTATCATGTAAATGTGTGTTATATAAACCCATCAGAACTTGTTTTTTGGGCCAGGACAATTATTCTAGGAAAAGATTCATCATTTATAATTCTCATTCAATAAGAGAAACAATGAACGTAGGTTTAAGATTCAAACTTACCGAACCATTTTAAAAATTGTCTTTTGTCATCGCTCATTTTTTCTCTTTAATAATCAATTGTTGTTTTATCTTAAATCACGCACACATTAGTTTCAATTCTATCAAAGTCAATCGGATCACTTAAGTTGATACGAATTTTCGTATCAACACTGTCGTATAGAAGATTCTAGCGTTGAACTAATATTAAGTTTCCTCTCTTGATAATTGCCCGTCTTAATCACTCACATAAATTCAAAAGTAAGAAATAACGTTTATATTAATGTTATACTTACAAAGTTGAAAATCCACGCCTTAAATTTCCATTTCCAGTTGTAAGGCCAAGGATTATTCATGTTGCCTTTGCCAAATTCTTTGATTTCGTAGAGAGATTTTGGCAATGGGATAAACGTTATTCAAATAATACAAAGAAATTGGCATTTATCATGTGTATTAGCCATTGACTTTTGTCCATTCACAACCAAACCATTAATTATTTTTTGGTTGAAAAAACTTTAATTTAGAAATTTTGTATTTGCAAAAATATAACTTGAAGACGACATGCCAAAGAAAGAAATTGGTTAAAATGGCTATTTGGTATAAAACTTTTTTAAATATAACTTCTACATATAAAGTTTTTACCAAAAATAAATTGGGTTCAATGTTTGGGAAATTTAAAAAAAAAAAAAAAAAAATTTGTATGGTTCAACCTTGAAAGTGTGTGTGTATAACTGTATATATATATATATTATGTACCAAATGGTAACCAAGAAATTGGTTAATTATTCACATTATAAATCAAATGATTTTATGAACAAAAATAATGAAAACGTGGTGATAATTTTTTTTTCACAAAAATGAAAAAATCATTTTTGAAACTTGTACAAAAATAATAATAATAAGAAGAAGAAGAAGAAAATAATGGATTTAAATATATTTAATTAAAGGGTTATAGTCAAGCTTTTATCACAATTAATTTAAGGATCACAAACTCTTATAATCTCTAAATGACAGCTCACAGTTTAATCTGTATTGTTAATTTAAAGGTTCACACAGAGAGTTCATTTAACCTAGAGCCCCTCAATTCTTTTTCAAATAAAGAATTATTATTTATTCTGCTTTTGACTTCTCCATGGACAACGTGAATAAATTACAGTAAAAAGAAAGAAAAAAGTTCCATACTTTAAATCAAATTTCATAGTAAATTTTATATATATATATATATTCTAGAATCTCGTACTAAATTAAAGAACTTGCTAAACTATGGAGGTGTTTGTCTAAGCTTATAAGCTGGTCAAACTAGCTTATAAACTCTAAAATTAAGCTGACCTGTTTGTTTATAACTTTTTTGAGCTTATAAGTTGAGTTTATAAGCCAAAAAAAATAAGTTGGGAGGGAGGTACTTTTTTTTTTTTGCTTATAAGCACTCTGCTTATAAGCTAGTTTGACCAAGTATATTACCACATTATCCTTGTTTAATTTTAAAATTCTATAGTATACCCTTATTTAATGTAGTACCTTTTTTAGTCATTTTATAATAAAATGTACTTATAAGCCACATTTTACCAAACACGTCAATTACTTATCAGTCACTTATAAGTACTTTAACCAAACACGTAATTGCTTAAAATTTCAAATGTTTATGAGCTAAAATTAGCTTATAAGCACCTGTTGCTTATAAGCTAATTTTCATAAGCTCAGACAAACACCCTCTATGTTATCTTAAAAAAAACATAAAAAAATGGTTTTTGATGATGCACGTGCCCTGACCGTGAGCTTCAATTCTAAACCTAAGTCTTTGTTAAACCTTCGTTCATAGTGTTGGATATATTTATTAAATTTTGCAAGTAAAATTAATAATAACGAAGTAAGATATTATTCATATTTTACATAACATTAAAATTGTGAATTGACTTAATTATGGGTATTCTCATTCTTATTGTATTTTAGATAGTATTCTATTTACTTTATTACAGATATTTTATTATTATTATAATATATTTTATCCACACTTTCGTATAAAAAGATTGTGTATCCACATGCAATTCACAACTTAATACAAATAATTTGATTTGATTGAATACAATTTTTGTCATCTCAAAGATATCTTTCGGACATAATTTGGCTCTCTTCAATTGCCTCTTACCCTCTCAAAGATATCTCTCGGATATACTCTGACTTTCTTCAATTATCTTTTTTGTCCTCTCAATTCCACCGTACATAATTAGTAGGAAAAAAGAGTACTAGAGCCACTATCTTGAGACTTTTGACCATTTTGTATATATCACATCACACTCATAATCTTCAAGAAGATAAACACAACTAATACACTTAAATGCATAACAAGAGCCACCTACTAATAATCAACTTAATTAATCTATGCTTAATGGCTTAATGCTTATCACAGTCAATTACCACTTTGTTATTCATAATTACAAGCTGTTTTCAATGGGTATCCTCATCCCTCATTACTTGTAATTAATGATTATAGCTTGTGAATATAAGGTTAATCCCACTATCTAAAAAGGTAAAAAAATAGAAATTAAACATAATTGAAGATTAGATTATAATTCATTGAGGTTCTTACCAAGTCAGCAGTTTCAGAAGATTAATTAAAGTAGGCACAAGTTGACTAGAATAACTCTAATGATTAAAAAAATAAATAAATAAAGTAACACTAATAATACAAAACAAAATTTAAGAGATATTATTAGATGTTTTATATAATTATAATGAATTCAAATTTGATTTTAACCAATTACCCATTTTTTCTCTGGACAGTATTACCCCTAAAATTTAGTTTATGCATACGTGTAAATACTTGTAATCTTGGTACATAATTAGAATTGATATTTGACTAAAAAAAAAAAAATTAAGTAGATTGTATTTGTACTCAAACATAACATAATTATACTTAACGCAAAAGTTAAATTGCTTTAACTTCACGAATGTATAATTAATTAATTAGAAACTTTAAAACAAAACTATTTATTGCAATTAATCCATTTAAGGATTCTTCTAGTAATTTCCTCCTATAAATGATCAAAACGACATTCCTTTTCCTCCAATCTCACGTCGTTTCTGGAAGCCTTTATTCAAATAATTCAATCATTATACGACTGGTTGTGGTCCATCCGCTGTCGTTTTTATGTCGTCCTCGCCTTCTGGTTTTTGTCCCCGGCCCCGCCTTGCGGCGTAACGTTCGTTAAATAAGGTTGACGTTATGGTCACCGTGGTAGGAACCTCACAGCCGCTAGGACGTTGACACGCCAAGAAAGTAGAGATCAATTTTGACTCTATGCACGCCTTGATTACGGTAATGCGCTTGCGGATTTGATATTGAGATCAAGCCAATCATGGGCTGTCACCAAAACAGTTGCGTCACCGGCAGGTTTTTTGTGTGCACAATACTCTTTTGTTTTCTGTTTTTTCTACGGATATTGTAGAGAACAATTGGGACACGTATTTGTTCAATTATCATCTATGCCCATGCTATTTCATACATGTGAAATTATTATAATGCCCTTATTGAAAATAAATGTCCGTAATATTCTTATAATTATTTTATTTAAAATTAGAAAACACATTTGATATAATGCCTTAAAAATAACTTTAGATTAAAGGCTATGTTTTTTTTTTTTTTTTGTTTGCGGGTAAATTTTCAAGTAAATTCTGTAATTATAGATGCTCTTTTTTTTTTTTTTTAATAGATTTATTGTATTTCATTTTTTTAAAAACAAGAAATTATATTTGAATTCTAAGTTAAGCAACCTAAAGATTAATATTAAGGTTAACAACAATAATTTCCCTTAACTATAATTAAATAGAAAATCTCCATGGGTTTATAAAAATATTCCTCAATTACAAAGTTTTTAGTATTAAAGTAAACAGTAAAAAGGCAATTAAGTCAATATTTATCAATAAATTCATAATTGTACACTGACGGTATAGGGACTTATATCATTTATAAAATCTCAAAGGAAAATTTGTTATTTGATTAAGCCTCAAAGTGGGTCGAGATAACATATTAATATATAAAAAATAGATAAAGAGAAGGTATTCTTTTATAATTTTAAAATATTTTTTTAGCTAACTTTTTAAAAGTAATAATCCAATTTTTTTATATATATTCTACTAAATCTTAAAAGTTTATAAAATATGAATATCATCATTTTGTTGGATAATTGAAAGAGTATGTTAACATTAGTTTATATAAATCTTGTATATTTAATTTAGATATATAAGGTAATTACTGGGGTTCTTACCCGGTCGATAGTTTCAAAAGAATATTTGAGATGCACGTAAACTGGCCTGACACCCACGATAAGAAAAAAATAATAATAATAATAATAATTGTTATAATTTAGATATATGTCATTATTATTTTTCTATTCTTATAGATTATGAAATAGAAAAATCCCTATAATAAGAAAGTTTTAGTTTTTAATTCACTTTAGAAACTATAAATAATAATAATAATAATGATAATGATGAATCACTATAACAATTAGGTAGACATGTTAAACACTCTCCACCAAATTCCATATCTAGCATATAAATATTTCAAGATCTAACTAAAACATTTGGACTTATTTGTTGAAGTTAATAAATAAAATGAAGGGCATTACTGTCATTCAAATATAGATAAGGGCTATCCTCGGAATAAAATATTTTGTCGTCCTCAAGGTTTCAACCTAGTAGACAACAGCCTTTTACTTTCACTTTACAGTAATAAAATGACTCAGCCGCACTACCAATGCTCAAGGTGTGCCAGGCATTATTTCAACCATATCATATCCATATCTTACCTAAAATATATATTTGCTTTTCTATTTTAAAAATTTAATTCTATTTTATTTAACTATTTAAATTCTATAAATTTATTAATTTAATTAAATATTCCCAATAATAAAAATTAATAAATTAATAAAAACACTCTCATTCACTCAGATATTTCAAATAGTTAACCACCGATTATCGATATTTAATAGATAGATAGAAATGTTTTTGTTAATTTTAAAACTTTTATTATAGACAATGTTTAACTAAATTAACAAATATAAGAAATTAAAAGGTAATTTTATCAAACATATTTTCAAATTCAAATCTTAACTTATAATAATAATTCAGTTTAACTTTTTCAAAAATACTATCAAAATAATAAAACAAACACATCTTAAATAAAAAAATATTATCTCCTGTTTTAGAATTTATTATTATTTTTTTTACGTGAAATATAAGATCATATTTATGAATAAACTTTTTATTTTAATTTTCACGAATTTTGGAATAACAAGAGAAAATAATTCTAATAATAAATTAATATTTCTCTTTATTTTCTCTCACTTCTTTTATAAAAAACTTACGTAAGTAAAAAAATTATATATTAGAGATAAATTCCTCAAAATAAATAAAATAAATGATAATACAACAAGGTTTTTATTATTCGTAAAGGTGATAAATATTGTAATTTTTCATTTGTTTCTTTGTGTTTTTAGCTTTTATTTTCACCTTTTGTAAAATATTATCATGTTAAACCTATTTTTATTTTTTATTTTCCAATCATTTTTAATATTTAAAAAAAAAGGAAAATAAATCTATAAATTCATAAAAGAATATATTCTTAATTAATTTTAAAATTTTTGAGGGACATATCATATATTTATTTTTGTGAAAGAATTTAATACACATATTCTTTTATATAATATTATTTTTGATGTATTCAAAGTTTTTTATTTTAAATATATGAAACATATACAATATGTTTATAATAATATTAAAATCATAAACCTTTCTCATTAATTTTTTTTTGCAAACACGACATGTTAACTCATAAGTCGTAATTGATCAGTCCGTAATGGATCTTGTTTGTCTGACTATCTGATCAAATGCGAATTGACATGTCAGCTTTTATGAAAGAAAATTGTGAGAAGTGTATGTCAATCAATCTTTATTTATTTATTTCTCTATAAGAGTTTTATACCCATCATTTTGATATAAATACATGAAATTAATACACAGTTTTGTATATACGGAATTGTTTCAATAAATAAATTAACTGTGTTCCCTCCACAGCTCCACGCCTCCACCTATCTCTTCGTCTCTCTTTCATCTCTCTGACAGTCTCTGTATCTCCAATTTCCTCAAACACATACGTTTCTTTATTCACTCTCTTAACCCACGCGTCCTCCACCGAATCAACCTATAACCATTTTCTATCGTTTTCCTGAAACCAAACACGTTCTTTTACTTATAAAAACCACCCGCATTCTCTCTCGTCCTATTATTTTACTACAACTCTAAAGTTTTGTTTTTTTTTTTTTTGTTTTTTTTACTCTAAAGGTCGGCTAGCTTGCAAGTTCTCGTTTTTGAGGGTGAGTGAGGGAGTTCTTCATGGCCGTTGATTCTCCTGACCGGAGAGACGTTGTCATCAAGGTCGAGGGTGATAAAACAACAACCAACACCAACAACAGCAAGATTTGGCGAGAGTCAAGCTATGATTTTTGGCAAGATAGAGACCGGAACAAAAACAACAACATGAAGAAGAAGAACGGGGAAGAAGGGAAGAGTGGCGAAGAAGAGGGTGATTTTGATTTCATGCAACGCGGTGCAGGAATTGAAGATCCACCCTCGAAGTTGATTGGTCAGTTTTTGCATAAGCAGAAAGCTTCAGGTGAGATCTCTCTTGATATGGACTTGGACATGGATGAGCTTCAACAACAAGAGGCAGCGAGTGAAAATAATGGTAATATTAATGTTTATAATTATAATGAGAAACAGACTTTACCAACCGTGGCTGAGTCGCCTACTTTGCATAACAAAGATAATAGAGTTTCGTTTGAGTCTTTTAAAAGAAGGCATTCTAATTCTAACAGTAGTTATAAAGATTCCCCACAGAAAGATTCTGAAGGAGAGGTTTTGAAGTGTACTTCAAACCGGTCGTTTGATAGGGATGTGTCCTTTAATAGGAAGTCTAGAGTGTTGATGACTAAGACGAAGTCTAGGTTGTTTGACCCTCCACAGGATAGAGTTGAGCAGAAATCTGGGAGAGTAGTGGGGAGATCAGCTCAGTTGAAAAGTGGGTTTATTGCGAGAAATGCTGAAGATGAAGAGGATGATCCATTCTTGGAAGAGGATTTGCCTGATGAGTATAAGAAGGAGAAAATTAGTTTGTGGGTTGTGCTTGAATGGTTAAGTTTGATTCTGATTATAGCGGCGTTAGTTTCTAGTTTAACGTTTAAATTTCTTAAGGGTAGGCATTTGTGGAAGCTTGAACTGTGGAAATGGGAGGTTTTGATTTTGGTTTTGATATGTGGTAGGTTGGTGTCTAGTTGGATTGTGAGGATTGTTGTGTTCTTATTCGAGAGGAATTTCCTTTTGCGAAAACGGGTTTTGTATTTTGTTTATGGATTGAGGAAGGCGGTTCAGAATTGTCTTTGGTTGGGGCTTGTGTTGATTGCTTGGCATTACTTGTTTGATAAAAAAGTTCAGAGGGAGACCAACAGTAAAGTTCTTCGGATTGTAACTAAGATCTTGGTTTGTCTTTTGGTGGGCGTACTGCTGTGGTTGGTGAAGACCCTTCTTGTGAAAGTTCTTGCATCATCTTTCCATGTGAGCACGTACTTTGACAGAATTCAAGAGGCATTGTTCAATCAATATGTGATTGAAACACTTTCTGGTCCTCCTGTTATCGAAATACAAAAAGCAGAGGAGGAAGAGGAAAGAATAGCGGTTGAGGTTCAAAAACTGCAAAATGCAGGTGCTACTATTCCCCCTGGTCTCAAAACAAGCGCCTTATCATCACCACAGAATCCAAAGTTGATGGGGAGTGGAAGGCTACAGAAAACTCCTCGTGGGGGAAAGAGTCCTAGGATCTCTCGTGCACTTTCCAACAAGGAAGAAGATGGGATCACAATTGATCACTTGCACAAGTTGAACCATAAGAATGTTTCTGCTTGGAATATGAAGAGGCTTATCAATATAGTCCGGTATGGATCTCTTACCACATTAGATGAACACATACAAAATTCAAGTCAAGCCGATGAGTCTGGACCGCATATTAAAAGTGAATACGAGGCAAAAGTTGCTGCAAAGAAAATTTTCCAGAATGTGGCTAAGCAAGGGTCCAAGTATGTCCTTAATCCTATCACGTTTGCAATACTATGTTACATGTGCAAATAGGGTGCTTGTCTGCCTTGAATTTGATTTTACTTCTACTCTTGTTTTAAATTTTAATTTACTTGGTGAGTCTTCTTTTTTAGTTTTTACTGTTGTTTTTCCTTTTGATTTAAATTTGCATCATCTTTGTTCTATCTGTGGTGAGTTTTGTTGCGAATGACTTGAACTTTGCTATCATATTACCTCTTGCCGAAAAAGCTCCTGATTTATTAACAATGTCAAATCAAGCATATAGAAGGTAGTTCCACCTGTATTTCAGAAGATATCAGTGCTAATACTGGGTTGAAAAAATAAGGGTCAAAGGACTGATGTGTTAACTTCACCAAAATGACCCATTAATCACGTAATCAATTTTTTTCGTACTTCTTTTTTCAGGTTCATATTCCTGGAGGACCTAATGCGTTTCTTGCCAGAAGAGGAGGCTGAGAAGACCATGAGTCTCTTTGAAGGAGCATCTGAAAGCAATAGAATTAGCAAGTCGGCTTTGAAGAATTGGGTGGTAAGAATTAGGTGATTAGTTCCATGCATATCTTGTTCCTTTCTTCTATTGCCTGTTCAATTTTGTGTTGACAGTAAATGTCAATTTATTTTTTGAAGTGCAAAATGTGTGCACATTTATGACTGATTATCTTTGGGGTGTCGTAATGTCCACCAAACTTTGAGTATCAGTAAACACAGTTACAAACCTTCTTATATACAAGGTCTCAGTTCAAGTTGAAGTGAATGCATCAAAACAACTATCTAATGTTTGCTTGTGATCACATGATTGATTGCAGGAATCTCTGGTTGAGTTTTATAGCTTTTATTGTTATATGCAATGTAATGATAATGCAATGCATCTGTTTTAGGTTAATGTTTTTAGAGAGCGGAGGGCACTAGCGTTTACTTTGAACGATACGAAAACAGCGGTCAACAGACTTCATCATATGGTGAACACTTTGGTTGCAATTATCATTGTGATTATCTGGCTCCTTATATTGGGAATCGCTACCACCAAATTTCTACTCTTTGTAAGCTCTCAGCTTGTTGTAGTGGCATTCGTTTTCGGAAACACATGCAAGACAGTATTTGAGGCTATCATCTTTCTGTTTGTGATGCACCCCTTTGATGTGGGCGATCGGTGCGAGATTGAAGGAGTTCAGGTACATTGTTTAAATAATACTTCATCTTTCTATCCCCTTACAAATACACAATTTTTCATTTACATAAACTGTGTGTTCACCCAACTAATGTTTCCATTCAACTGCAGATGGTAGTGGAAGAGATGAACATCTTAACTACTGTTTTCCTACGATATGACAACCAGAAGATTATTATTCCAAATAGTGTTCTTGCTACAAAGGCTATTAGCAATTACTACCGTAGTCCTGATATGGGAGATGCAGTTGAGTTCTGCATCCATGTATGTACTCCGGCAGAGAAGATTGCTCATATGAAACAGAGAATACTAAGGTAACTACTCAGAAATTCTAGTACTATGCCATTGTTATCTTGCTTTCGCACTTGAAAATTCCTTATTTGTCTGATCACTTAATGATTGAGTATTTCTCATTGTTGGCATTGCAGTTATGTCGACAACAAGAAGGATCACTGGTATCCACAACCAATGATCGTATTTAAGGAACTGGAAGAACTAAATAGGGTAAGGATAGCAGTATGGCTGACACATAGAATGAACCACCAAGACATGGGAGAGAAATGGTTGAGGAGAGCCCTCTTGGTTGAAGAAATGGTCAAGATTTTCAAGGACCTTGACATCCAGTATCGCTTATACCCAATCGACATTAATGTCCGTGCCATGCCTTCCATGCATCCTATGAACTCCGATCACATCTCTTCAAACCGGACAGCAAACCTCTAGCTGAGAGGTGAGACAAAGCGAAAAGATGGTAACCGAATATAAAGAGCCCCATTTGGGATATTGTATCATTTAGTATATAATATGTCTTATTTTCGCCCAATGTTATGAACTGCATACCCATAGTGTTCATAGCCTAGAGTCAAATGAGATTCTCCTCGTTTTAGAGATGATTGTATTTATTGTATTCAGTATTATTTTCTGATATTTACTGTTCCATCTGTCATTTTTTATATGATCTTGCAATTTGCAGTGCCATTTTTTGAATAATCTGAAGAAAGCATTGTTTAAAGAAGCACATTGGAAGTGCTTTTTCTAGAACCAGTTTTAAGTAAGGAGCTTTTGATGAAGAGCTGATGAGTTTGCGGGCACGTGAATGTGAAGACAGTGATGTACTGTCTTGTCTTCAGTTTTAGCACAAGCGTGTAGATTTTGTTTGGCATGAGCCGGGAGTATTGACATTTACATTAGTAACCAATGCATGTGCTTTTGCTCAGAAAGCATGTGTAGTGCTTTCTAGAGTCTAGACTTGTAGTTAAAATAAATTTGACTTTTAAGCCAAAAAAGTAGTTGGTGAAATTTTCTTTTCCATTTTATTGTCTGCGGAAGAAATAAAAGAGGGAAAACTTTTTTCGGTATTGTAAATTACATGTTTATTTTAAATAATTAGATAGAGAAAAAGAAGTAAAAATATAGATGAGGAGAGCCGCAAGTCTTGCGACGGAGAGAGAGAGGAGATGATGAGCCGACAACGTGAGAGAGAGGAGATGATGAGCCGACGACGTGAGAGAGAAGAGATGATGAGCCGACGATGTGGTCTGTGAGAGAGAGGAGTTTAGAGATGGCGATGCCGCGATAGTGGGACTGGGATGATGAATGACTGAATGTGAGAGAGAAGAGATGACGAGTTGACAAAGGTGGGATTGGGATGACGGATGGCTGTGAGAGAGAGTTGAGAGAATGACTGAATGTGAATGAGTATGAGAGAATTAGAGTTAGGGATTTCCCCTGTTTTCTTTTAACAAAAAACGGGTATCCGCGGGTTTACTCGTATTACCCGTTAATAATACGGGTCGGGTCGGGTACATGTTTTTAAAAAAAACGGGTCCAATACATTAGACTCGTACCCTATATTTTTTATCTGGGTAAGGGTCAACACGCAGGTCTAGATCCGTTTTGTCAGGTCTAGTTTCCCCTTGAGGTTTGAATTGACACTAGATTTGGTATTGTAAATGAATAGTAATGAGATGGTAATAGTTTCCCCCAAGTAAGGATTCCACCAAAAGGTTTTTGAAAGTAACAAATACACCCAAGGATAACACTGCACACAATAAAGATGGCAATTCGACTCGTAAATTTGGGGGTTTTCCAAAAGCGAGGATGGGGACAACAAAATTCTTCGAAAATGGGGACAAGGTGGTGACAAGGATAGATATTTCCCCGCCCTGCTTAAACCCCGATATAAAGTTACTAAATTAACCTTTATATATTTATATAATTACAAAAAAACCCTCCCCATATATAGCCAAGGTTAAACCTTAAACCAATTAAGTGAACTCTTTAGAAAGAGAAAGGTCTCTCTCAACTGTTTGGCTACGGTGGCCACTGCGGCCGATGGTTTTCACCACAACTCTGACGCCATTTTGCAACTAACACTTTCCTAATCAATCAAAGACCTAAATCATGTTACGTTGCTGCTTCTAGTCGCCGTTGCACACAACCTTTGGAGATCTCTCACTACAACCTTGTTTTCTTCGCAACCAGCCCTAATTTCGTGTCGTCGGCCGTTGACAGATTGACTGCGTTATCATTGCGACAATTTGTGCTGTACGACTAGTGCTTTCTTCCAACAATTCAAAGATTTTTTTCCCCTAGTTCAAGGCAAGACAGGGATCAATATTTCCCTGTGGGGCAAGGACGAGTAAAAATTCATCTAACGGGGACGGGGAAGGGGAAATCCAACCCCATTCCATTACCATCCCTAGACACACACACACACATAGAGACAGACACACAGACCACGCACACATGCACGCACACGCACGTACAAAAGTTTGTTTTTCAAGTAATATAAGATTTCGGTAATCTTCCAAAACCAATAGTAATTAATGTTGGCAATATATGAGGTACTCTAATTACCTCAATTCTCTTAGGTATTTTAAGATTACTTGATAATCTTATTTTTGTTACAATTTTACCTTAACTATTAAAATTTTTGGACAACAATGCCCTTAATTCGAAAACAATTTACAATTATATTTATAGATTATTTTATCCTTATATACAAAATTTTTAGGACATAAATAACTTAGAACTTTAAAAAAATTACCCAAGGGTAGTGGCTAGATCTGGCCACCCTCGCCAAACGATGCTGGAAAGGCGCACGACTGGTCGCATCTGGTCGATCGTGCGTCAATATGGTCATTTTCGACAAGATATTTGGCCAAAAAGGGCCATATCGCTGTAGATTTGGCCGAAAACGACTAGATCTATTCTAGTCGTTTCCGACCAGATCTACAGTTTCTAGTTGTTAACAGCCAGACGGTCAGATAGATCTTACCGTTAACAACGACTAGAACTTTTACTGTTAACGACGGCCAGTTCTGGCCATAGATGGATCTGGTCGTAAATGGCCAGATCGGCACATGACCGACCATATCCAACGGTCGTGTGCCATTACGACCACTGCCGACGCCATCAACAGCGATGATAGGCGGTCGATAGTGGCTTGGTGTGGGTGAGGGTATTTTAGTTAAGTTTTAAATTTTTTTTTGTTGTTGAGGTATTTTAACTAAATCTGAAATGTAAGGGGTTAAAAGTAATAATAATAAAAATAATATTATATTAATATTTACAAATGAGGACAATTTAATAAATTATATAACATACTTACCAATTTATTCCTCCCAACCAAACATATTAATATAACATACCCACCAATTTATTCCAACCAACCAAACACATTTTCCTAAATATTCTCAATAATCTTCAAGATAATCCATCTTTCTATTAATATAACATTCCTAGTAATACAACATTCTCTGAACCAAACACACCCTTAGAGGCAAATGAAATTAATCCAGTATTTTATCTTATATTTCAACTCAAAATTCTTTGTTATAGTTAGTTTACACATAACATTAAATGTGCGTTTGATTCAGAGAATATTAGATTACTAGAATCTTATATTATCTTGAAGATTACTGAGAATCTTTAAAAAAATATGTTTGGTTAGTTGGAATAAATTGGTAGGTATATCATACTAATATATTTGGTTAGAAGAAATAAATTAGTGGATATATTATTTAAATTACTAAATTGTCCTCTTTTTAAATATTAATATAATATTATTTTTATTATTAATTTTTAAATAATTTTTTTAACCCCCAATATTTCAAATTTAGCTAAAACACCTCTGCTTATACAAAACTTTAATTTATAACAAATTCAACCCCACCACTATGCTGCCGCCACCGCAAACCACCGTCGGAAGTCGCCGTGAGCAACCCACCATGACCGAGAGGCCCTGATATGATCGTTTTTAGCCATATCGGGAGCAAATATGACCGGAAATGGCCAGATTGATGGATCTAGCCGTTAACGGCTAGACCCTTGGCCTTTATTGGTCAGATCTGGGCAAGATCTGGCCGTTAACGACTACGAATCTGGCCATTAATGACCATATCTATTCCAGTCGGAATAAATCTGACCGATAAAGGCCAAGGGTCTAGCCGCATCAATCTGGCTGGAAATGGCCAAAATAGATCTGGCCATTTCCGACCAGATCTGCTCTCAATATGACCTTTTTGGCCATCAATATGGCCAGAAACGGCCATATTGGGGCCTCCCGGTCATGGTGGACTACTCACGACGACTCCAGGTGACTTCCGAAGACTTCCCGCGACGATTGACTGTGGTTTGACTGGTGACAAGCGATAGCAGGTGGGTAGGGATAGTGGCTTGGGTAAGCTGAAATTTATTTTGATTTCAAGGGTAATTTTGTCCAAAAAGTTAATTAATTGGGGTGAAATGATAAAAGCAAGATTCATGCAAATAAATTTAAAAATAAAAGCATTATTGTCTTAAAATTTTATTAATAAGAGATAGAATTGTAACAAAAAAAGATTACCTAAGTAATCTTACAACCTAAAAAAATGAAGGTAATCATATTACCTCAAATATTACCAACAGTAACCACTATTTTAATATTAAAAGATTACCGAAATCTTATATTATTTGACAACCAAACATGATACTCAAGTAATATAAAATGATTTAACCCTAGTAATCCCACATAACCCCTAACCAAATGCCCCCTAAGGGTATTTAATTTATCCAGATCTCTTAATATAAAATAATTCTGCTGTTCTGGAAAAATATTATATACTCTATATTTATCAAAAGTTCTTTTAAAACTATCAAAAACTTTCTCTAAGAGCATTGTATCAGCGTTCTTACAAAATTAGATAGTTTATGCGATACATTAGATGTAATTATCTCTTCCTAGAACGATGTATTTGTCTATTTCGGAAACCTCAAGACAGAATTTCACTTAACCCATACCTCATTGATGGAAGAGTGGGCAACCCAGTCAAACGGAAATAAGAAATACTAAACTTTCAAAATGAATGCATACAAAATAAACATCACCAATACACAAATGAGCAAAAATCCATAAACATGGGATATTAGAAGATAAAGTATGTAACTATTTGGTATAATTTACCAGTAATAAGAAGATATAAACACAGTTAAGCAATTTCATCAAGTAGATGCACTGAAACCACAAAAACTACAACTTTGTCTTAAGAATCTATAGAGACTAAACACTATGGTAACTAGACACTATAGCTGTAACTTCCAAATCAAAGAACTTGCTTTTCAAATCCATGTACTTATTTTTACTTTCTTCTCAAAACCCCATCAGGAATAAGAGAGCAGTGAACAATTTGTAACAGCAAATGGAGGGAGAGAAGTTAGGCAAAAAAATCATGCCGAAGTGAAGTTTGAACCTGAGACATCGAACGTGATTTTGGAAGTCACTAGGGTTACAACCCCAACTGCGGTCTTTTTGCAGGGCCATGATGCTGATTGTGGTGGGGGTCTTGAATGGTTGAGTTGTATATGTCAGGCACGAATGCTGTGGTATCATATAGATTCGGCGAACTTTTTGGCCAATAGAGCCCCGAGGCTGTAGGAGGGGAAGGAATTTGTGGCACTGCCCAGGAGCTCTCCGGCCCCTGACCCAAGCACTCATCATTGTCTAGCTCTTCCTCAGCAGATCTTAAGACTGGGGAGCTGTCAGAGTCTCCACGCTTGCCAGTATCAGTCTGGAAATACCCAACACAAAAGAACCAAAATTGTCAGCTGTATCAACTTTAGATGTTGGAAGACAGTGTCAATATACTAGGTACTTAAGGAATAAATTACCATAATTAAAACAGTTGAATGGTTAGGTCAATTTACTTCCTTTCCAGGTCAAATACCAGGAACCAAGGACACTTCAAAGTTGCAAAAGGACAGATGGTCAAGGACAAGGCATGGAGATATGCCTGCACATGTACCATAAAGGATGCCTAGATCCACTTCAAATCTATAATGGATTTATTATCAACATTTACATGATTTGGAAATAGGATGATGCAGAGGAGAA